ATGCCAGAATGACTTCTTTTTTTTGCAAGGCAAAAAATTTGTATCTTTGTTAAAAAACTTTTTTACAACTATTTAATACACTCCTTACATAAGTGATAATTAATTTATAAAATTAAATTCAGACTAAATTTAAACTGAGGAAAAAATTACAAAACGAAGTTTTCTAATTTAGCGACTTCATTGATTAAACGTTAACCGTCGCGTTGTAGAAACTGTAAATAACTTACAAATTAATACCCATTAATATAAAAAAATTGCCTCATGTTATAAACAGAAAGAAAGTAGCATGAGATAACGAGCGGATTCTTATAAAATCACATTAGACAATTAAGGCGAATTCATAATCCACTCAGTCCAATAATTTCGAAGATTATCTGTTTAACAAAAATTGACACAAAGAACAGGAGATCTATTTTCTCATAAGCATAAAAATGGAACTTAACGGTATTTAGAAAAAAGATGTATATATGTAAGTTTTTTTTGGAAATACTATAAGAAGGACATGTTAAACACATAATAGTTTCAGTTTCTTCCCCCTAAATTCGCAAGTAGACTCGTCCGGAGGCTTTTCCGTCCACTGCGACGTGTGATTGGTATGTTCTTCTTAAAATATCTCCACTCTAATTACGAATAAATGGTAGATACCTAATAAAAACAATAAGCATGCGCCAAATTTAAGTAAATAGTATAGCCGTAAAAACGATTTATTTCAAATTTTGTTCCCGTCTCTGTATTGAAATTTTGAGGGGTTTTTATACTTATTTAATGAAGCTACGACAATGCAGCAAAAATATCTAGATGACAGACAACAGACAGACGAAAACGGGAGACCTACTTTTTGTTACTCTAGGGATGATAGACTTTATTGCAATAATTTCTTACCTTACACTCAGTAAGTAAAAATATTCAGATTTTGTAGAATCCACTTAGTCCAGATTAATTTTATCCTCAGAAAAAATTTGAAAAACTTCAAATTATGTGAAATGATCCCCCAAAATAATTTTTTCTTTTTAACGTACAGCTGTTGAACCCAAATTGTTCTGCAATATAAAAAGTGAGTTCAAAGGATTTTTCAATGAATCTGTATTTAAAACACATCCAGCAGCTAACCTAAAAAAAATAAAATAAATTATATCAGGAATATTTTATAATAAAAGAATATTTCCAAATTAGCTTAAATATGATATATACCTAACACAGTCAATGCAGCTAATCTTTGAGTTGGCAATTTTGAATTATTAGCAGCAGAGCTGTTCAGTACTTCAAGTAAAAGTACTTGAAGTAATACTTCAAGTACTTTAAGTACTTCAAGTACTTTACTTGAAGTACTTTTATATTTAGGTACTTGGTACTTGGTACTTGGAGTATTTCTAAAATATACTTGGGTTTAGTACTTGATTTTGCCAAGTACTTTACCCCAAGTACTTCACTCAGTATTTTAAATACTCTTGAATTATGAAAGTGGAAATTTCAAATACTTTAGTCTCTATTTTACGAAGTTTTCACATCTCAAAATAGGGACTGTTAAATACTTGAAGTTATTAATTCAATTATTTGATTAGATGTATTTTTATAGTAAAATCGTGTTTGTTTCCTGTGAGGTTATATTTTGATCTCTGATTATGGATATCTTATTCACAATACGACGTACATTTCATAGGTACTTGCAGAATGCCGATAGGTAGGTAAGAAAATTAATGTCATAAATATGTCATTTGAGAGTCGATGACGACAGCAGAAGGGTCGGAGATCTGTGTAAAATTTTCAGCGATGTAAAGTTGTGAATATATGAATTTTGTCTTTTTTGTATTTTGGTCTGGAACTTAACTTTGCGGGTAGTTTTTCAGTACCTTCCCGGTACCCCAAAGGGAATCGGGTTTGTTGACGTACCTGCTAAAGTGCAACGTCGGATTTGAAAATATTTGAGCAATGATTCAGTACTCGTTCAAAAAGATATTTATTCTTTTATTAGTTTCTTAACTCCGCCGTGTATTTGTCAGTAAGAAGCCTGGTCAGGGCGGAGAACTCGGCAGGGGATTATCCCTTTTATTATAATAGCAATAGCTGATGGCAGGTACAGACTTTCATATTCGCCTCTTCCTCCTAGAATTTAAACAATTTTATGTTAAATATTTTGCAGTTTAATTTTCTTTATCATGTTAGACACTCGTTTTTTACCAAATTTTCTTTTTTTGTTTATACATGGTTCAGCCATATAAACTTAGTTTGTTATTACTACTTATATTTTCTCACATTACAGTTTCAAATAATTTTTTAAATTGTATGAATTATTTGAACACCAACAATTTAAAAAGACGTAATGCAGAAAAACAATGATTTTAAAAGTCACACTAATTAGTGTCATTAACTTTCCTGTACGGATTTTATTTATTACCGTACAACAACTTGACGTATTACATTGCATCGCTTATTACATAAACCCAATATTGTTCAAAATGAAATATGTTTTGTGAAACTCGGCTCGTAGTACCAATGTTTTTGTAATCCAGTTGATACGACCATGATTTTATGGTTTTGATGAGTACCGAATTGTACTTTGATATTGCTCGAAGGACCTTTGTTTCGTTGTGTGTGAAATAATAGACAGCGTTCGGTTTCGATGTTTCAATACAGGACGGTTACAGAAGTACTGAATTTACATTTGTATTTACAATATCAGGTAAAGATACCCAAAAGGGTCAGTGGCCGCTTCCGTAAATGGTATATGTATCGCACAGCTCTTAAAATTTTTTTCTGAAAAATTTCAGTTTCACATATCCGGCCCTGTGCACTCTCACAATGGGTAATGATTAAGGGTGCTGTAAACTACCCACAAACTTAAACACAGAACCGGTTCATAAAATTCATATATTTTTAACACAACTTTATTAAAAAATCAGAACGTTTTGGTGGTGAAACAAAATTCAAAATATCAAAAAAAGGCAACAGAAGCCTGAGAGAATACCATACAGCGCCGATGTTTTTGTTATAAATTAATAGTAAGCATAGATAGACAACGCCGTCATGTATTTTATTTTAAATTTTAAATTAGAAATAGACGTTAATTTTGTCGAAGGCATTGTGTCAACAGGGAGATGTAAAAGTATTTCAAAAGAATATTGTTTATAAATAACATAGTATTATTAATAAGTGAGCTACCATTCTGCATTTAAGTTGATGCTTATGCAATTTTTTATGTGACGAAATATGTATTATTGTATACTTAAATTCTGAGTATTAAAAAATTCAGTTCTAAAATATATTAAGCTTTTTTAAAAAAACAGGAAAAGTTATCTAATTCTACAGTATTTCAAATAATTAGAAAGTACTTGAAGCATTTTCAGTACTTCAAGTATTTGTAAGTACTTGAAGTATACCTTCAGTACTTCAAGTACTCGTAAGTACTTGAAGTAATGTACTTGGCTTGTACTTCAAGTACATCTGAAAAGTACTTGATACTTGAAATACTTTTGCTGAAAGTAAGTACTTGGTACTTTACTTGAACACTATTTCAAGTAGTACTTTGTACTTGGTACTTCAAGTACTTTTTTTGAGTACTTTGAACAGCTCTGATTAGCAGCTACTGAAATGGTGCTCAAAATTTGAATTTGACATTAGACATGTCAACATAAAATTTTAAATATGTTGCCAATTTGACAAAAAAAAAATCACACAAGAGTCACTACATATTAAACGATATACAGAGTGTACTCTAATAGACCGTGATAAAACGCTATTACAAGCAGCTACACCATCCTTACACAAAGAAATAATAATTTTCGAAGTTTTCAGCCCTCGATTTTGAAAATCTTCTTTTTAAAATTCTCAAAATTAAAAGTCTCAAAATTTTATCATTAAATAACAAAATGTGGTTGCAACGTGATAATTAGTTTTTAATCATCGTGATCATCGCTAAAGTGTTTCTTTAGAAATTAAATATTACAAACTTTAGGTAAATTTAAGTGAAGACAATAAGGATAAGAAGAAACTATTTTGCTTAAAATACTTATATTATTGTAACATCAAGTTTAAAATGTTTCCGCTTAAGCTGTACTTAAATAATGCGCACCTATTTATTTTTATTTTAACTTATAGGGTTACCACAAAAAAAATATATAATAAAATTCGCAAAAATGGTACAATTTTTCTAAAACTGTATTTGTTTGATCCTGCTTAAGAGGCGAGTGAATTTCTGTTTGAATAACTTTAAATCATTTTTTTATTCTCTTGTAAGCTGAATTTTGTTATCTTCGAACTTCGTTATAATTTGCAAATTATCAAAAATTATTCATTCAGTAAAATTCACAGTTGCAAATAACGGATGTGTTTCTGGCTACTGATTGCAAGATTTATTAGTATAAAACTTTGATTTATTATAAAACTAATATTTTAATTGCGGTTGTAAAAAATGACTTTGATTTATTTTTTGTTCAAAGCAAAATAAAATAGACGAAAAAATCCCGAGCAAGTGAGTAAAGACCGAATTCGGAATGACTTTAAATGTACCATATTTAATCCATTTTACTTTTTCTTTTATTGTTTTCAAAATATATTTTTTTCTATTAATTATAGATGCAGAAAATAATAAAAATTCAAGAGAATTAGAGTTTGTTATATTATTTGTATTTCTGTTTTCAGTAACGCTAATCCTACCATCTAGCGGCGAGTAGCCACAGTTGTTGTAGAGCGGAATTAACATGGCGTCAATACATCTGATTTAATAGTCCTTATTTTCGTTTTGCCCTATAGAAGTATTGTTCTCATGAGGTTGTCTGTGAACTTACCATAATATTACTAACAAACGAAAACAGGTACATGTATAACATGTAAAGGACAGTTCTCATTTGTAATTAATTCAATTATTTTTGTAACCCTACATTGTGTATTGTAATAGAAATAATTGCATGTTCCATATTTCTGTTATTTAGGAACTTGGAGCAAAGATCAGTGGAAGGGCGAATTGTGTGTATAGGGTTCAAATAAACCCAACAACGTTTCACTTTTTATTGCGAACGTACAAAAATATCAAAAATTTCGAAAGGTACTAACAATATTGTCTAAATATAAACGTTATAAGTTGTTTGAGATGGCAAATTCATTGGTGCTCGTCCTTACATGGCATTGCTTAACTAATACTTAAAAATAAATAAACTGTACAAAAAAAGTCGTCTAAGAAACTATTAAAGAAGTTTCTACACAAAACAACAAAAAATATAAAAGTCAGGAATTTCCGATCCATAAAAGTACACTAGTAAATTTTATATAGCAAACAGTAGAAAGTGGAAGTAATTTATAGTAGAGGTCGCACACAAGCTCAAGAAAAAACAAATTAATATAATTTTCTAACAAAAATAAAAAAAAGACCAAAATGTAAGGCAAATTTTCTACATGGTAGACAGTCTTATTTAGTCAAACAGTATCATTTCATTCCTGGGGGCAATTTTTGAAACGCCCATGTATTTCATAGACTTGTACTTGTCTTGAATGGCGTGTTGCGGATGTGTAGGTGCTTTTACAAACATGTCATATAAGAATTCAATACAAGACTGTAATTGTTTCAGGCTATAGCCTGCCCTCTTTTGTAAAGTCTCATCCCAGGCTTCTTCCCCTAGCGTATGTCTGCCAAGTGCTATAGCAGATGATGCTAGAACTGATTGTAAATACTGCAAGTAGGGTTCCACTTCCAAAAGCGCAATTTCGCTCAGATACTACAAAAAAATATGTTATTCAAACCAAAACACTTTGTATACCTACCATAGCGAGGTACATTGTTTTGTCCATCTGCTTCGTTAAAACGCAAATGGCGTTTATAAAAGTCAGCGGTGTTGGCACTGATAGATCGAAACCCAAAACCCTTAAAATTAGATGCTCCATTCGGATTACCTGATGTTTGTCGTACGTGTCGTCAGTGATGTAAACAAATTCCCCTACGTCTGGAGGAAGAATTTCTTCGTATTTTCTACAAACAAAAAAGTCAACAAATGTTTGGAAAATTAATTTAAGTGAACGTACGAAGCTATAAACATGGCTGCCGTTCCAACTAGTTGCAATTTGGCCCTAACCACTGACATATAGCTCAAGAAACGATCGATGAAATTCACCGCCAGGTAAAGGGTTTCGGTGTGCATTCTGTACTCTTCTGTTACTTCCACTAACCAATCCACTAGAACGGCACGCATATTTTCGGTTACGTCGGGTTGTTTCATGATGTAACCAGGCTTAGGCCGATGTCGTAACTAAAATAAATAAAAAAATTAAAATAAAGAGTAATTTATGAATTTTGCGTTTCCATTATTAAGTAACCTGATCTACCAGTAAGTGCTCCATGGTGACTCAAATTCACACTAAGCACTCAGATATATTGAGATAAGTTTGAATTCAAAGCGCTGCAGTGTTGTTAATAACGTGTCAAAACTTGTGTACCACTAAACGTGTGGGTGGTGGGATCGTATTTCGCGCCATTTCTTGTAACCTTGAACTAAGCTTAACTAACGCTGAGAATAAGATCAAAATCATAAACCGGAAAACGTTTGGTTTAAAAATAAAGTAATTTCAAGTTTTTTGAATCGCTACATAATTTTAAATAAGTTTAGTATTTAATACTTAACGGCTCGTATTCCACTACCAAAAGTAAAACAAAAGAAAAATGCGGCTGCCTCGTTTTTGTCATTTTTTGCTTTATATCAAACATTTTTTTGACACTGCTGTTTCGTTTCTCACCTCATTAAATTTTAATATTCTTTTTACTTCCCAAGCGTAAGCGAAGGAAGTATTGTAATCGAGTCTCTACTTCCTACTTTTACGTTTTCTCGACCTTTCTTGACCCCTACAGTACGAAGAAATAGGTCTCCCGTTTCCGTCCGTCCGTCCGTCCGTCCATCTGTCTGCCGTCACGGATTTTTATTAGCCAGATAATCTCCGAAAGTACTGTACCGATTGTTGCCAAATTTTGCATTTATATTAGGAATATAGATGGTAAAACACTAACTAAAATTTGTCAAATGATCCCAACCAATAATCTGAGGACGTCATTTCAAAATTGTACATAGGAAATGGGTTTCAAAGTGTATAAAATAACATAGTTCTATACATGTAGTTTATGACTCCGAATTGGTTTTTTACCCGAAAAGTCCAGATTTAAAAAAAAAGAGAAAATCAAAATTATTTAACATTTTGCAATTTAATTTTGAATCTACAAAACCGAATTTTTGAAATCTTGATATGGTTTACAATTATGATAAGCATGATAAATTTTTAATCAAAATATATTTACTTATCCCCTCCAAAAAATTGATGACGTCAGCTCAAGTTTGCCGAATATTTCCTATCCAAAATGTCTAAAATATGATGAGTCTACTTGTGATTTATCATTCCATTCATATTTTTTAGATTTGGCTATACGAGGTGTCTCAAAAAAATTAAGGAATGAGTGAACTGATTTTAATCTTACATGTGCAACGTATGCTTATGATTTATCACTGCATTATTATTTATTAGATTTGCTTATACGGGGTGTGTCAAAAAAATTAATGAATGCGTGAATTTATTTTATTGATTTATTCAGGAACTGCAACACCGAATGCTTTGAAATTTTGAAGATGTTTTAAAGTTGTCATGTAGATTGTAAAACGCTAACAAAATGTCTCTAATCATCCCCACCAACAAGGTGATGACATCCCCTCAAAATTTTCTCCAATAAATAGAACTTAAATTACATAAAATATTATATTCCCACACTAGTGTTTTATTATTATTGTCAAATTAAGAACAAGTCACCCCATTTTCTCGAAAATGTGAAGAATACGCACGTCTATATATAATAATGATAAAATAAGAATTATAATATTCAAAACATTTTGTTCGATTGTGGTTTAATTAATAATTTTAGTCCTGTGTTTTGAGAAGACAAACTCATTCATCAAACTAATTTCTACGTGACATTCTTTCAATGCATAAACATAAATTGAGCGTCAGACTGCTACTAGCAAGTGTTGAAGGACAAAGGTTGTTAGAGATGGATTACTTTAATTTCAACATGGTGAATCATCAGAATCTGACAACGAACTGTCAGTCAGTAGCGTAACATGCACACTTCAGAATGGGGTGGTTTTCAAATTTATTTTTTTAAATCGCAAACAATAACACACGGAAATATAAACTTAAGTGAACTGGTAGAAAAATTCACCATGACAGAAACGATGACGGACGCCTCTGAGGGTACGCCCATTCGAAAATGCTGGATATGTTTCATTGTATTTCAAAAGCGAGGGAAGTTCTGTCGAAACAACTTCCGACCAATTTTTGTTATTGAATAATACAACTGGTTGAATCTTTTTATACAATAAAAAATTGATCTGAAATTAGTCAGATAGAACTTATTTAATTTTTGAATTTTATTTTTTATGACCACTCCTTACGTTAAAAGAAGGGTAGATCAATCATCAATAAAATAGATTGCCTCACTCATTATTGTGAGTTACTCTGTATAGTTAATTCATACATATTTTGCATATTTTAGATACGATTTATTCTTCCAAATTTTGACATGACATCATGAAATTTATGCAGTTTCAAAGTTAAATCGCAAATTATACAATTTTGATTTTTTTCTAATTTTGTAATAAAACAAACATCGTAATTGGAAGAAGCTGAGCTTCACGATCTTATTTTTACGTAAATTTTGTCAAGTTTAAAGTGAGTCCGGAAAATAGTGAACACTAACTTCCCGTTTTCAAGAGTGTTTATTCAAAACCCTTAATAAACTGCTTAGGATTTACAACGCCTGTCTGTTTTTGGGTTGCTTGTCCGAAAGAATCAAGGGTTTTGCGAATCGGAATACCTTTGCGCATTAAATATTATAACAATAGTAGACCTCACCCAGATTTTTTTGACATTTTCTGATGTAGAATAAAAACCTAATTTCAGAAATTATCAATGTTTATTTCTATTAATACAAAAAATTAAAAAAATCACAAAAAACATCTTAATATTGTAAAATCACGTCATCTTTGAAAATACTAATAAATAATAAACTATGAGTGGGACTACAATAATTGTTCAAAGTGTTCCCAGTTTACAATTTGGCAACAAAATGTCTCAAAAGAATTATATATGATCTTATAATATGAAGGTGTTTTTTTTTGTGAATTTTTTTCTACTTTTTGTGTTGGTAGAAATAAACATCTTAATAATTTCTGAAAGTAGTTTTTTTATTCTGCTTCAGATAATGTAAAAAATGAGTATTCCATTAAAAAAAAGGCGGCTCTGTCAAACCGAGAGCGATAAAAAAAAGGAAAAATGTTGTTCAAGTCGCCATACTTAACTGTATATTCAAAGGAAACTTCAGAAAAAACTTTTCAAATAAACTTATTCGACCGTTTCGGGACTTTATATTAACCCTGTATAAAAGACATCTTTAGTTTTGCGGTACACTTTTAATTAATTTTTCCGACGATTTGATTGTTGCACATAATTATTAAATATTAAAGACTATTAAATCCACTAAAAATTGTTCTTGCACGTCTAATTCATAGAAGCTTTGTTCTTTCGGGCAAGCAATCCGCGACGTCAGGGGTTAATTATTATCATTACCATAATCCTAAACGGTTTATTCGGGTCTTCCAATAAACCTATTTGGAAACAGCAAGTCAATGTTCATTATTTTCCGGACTCTACTTTAACCAGAAATTTACCTTATAAAACCTTGTCACAACGTTATCATTTTCTGGAGAGTTTGCAGTTAAAGTTCGACTATCGCTATTTGGAGGTGACTTCACTGAGGATTGAAGCTTAGTTAGCACTCGGGATGATTTATTACTTAGACCCTGTTGTAAATGTGTCCATCAAGACGACGCTTTAAGGGCTTTTCCCAGTGAGATAACCGGTCCGACCCTGCAGACCATCGTCTTGATGGACACATTTACAACAAGGTCTAAGCAATAAATCATCCCAAGTGTTAATTAGTCTTTACTCCCCAGTGGTGACCTCCAAATAGCGACAGTTGAACTTTACCTGTAGCTTTTGGAGCGGTCCTTTGACACTTTTATAATAGGATTTAAGTGACAAGGATTCCTCTTTAGGTGATAATCACTCAAGGATGACAGTGTTCGTGAAATTTTAAAACTGGATGAATTAAATTTTAATGTAATTAATTTCCCCACAATTCAGGTGTATCTTAACAAAATGGTGAAAGAAATAAAACTAAATTTAAAACATTCAGCACTTGTCAAATGATTTCTAATCAATTTCATAAATGACAACAAACCGTTCAAGGATATTTTGTCTGAAGAAATTACCTAAAAAAATATGTGACGTTAATCACGTTTATGTCGGTAAAAATTAATAATTAACAATTTCCATCATTGAAAGTTACTGCGAGAACCAGGCAACAGAAACAGGAAGTTCACTTAATTTTAAACATTATAAATTCTGCATTTATTATTTGTCTCTACACAAAAGGAAGTCCTACGATGTGCCAATCACATGAAAATCATCCGACAGGTTAAGATTTTATACGCGTAAGTCTACGATTCTGTGTCTATACAACGTTTAGTAAATATGGCCCATAACCGTAATTTATTACTTATAACAATTTATTAGAAAAAGGGAAAAAAAAACTTTCTAATTAGAACGAATAAATAAAACTCAGCTAATGGCTCATAATCACTAAGTCAATGTTAATGCCTTGCCAAAATTTTAAAGAATTCCGTTACATAATTTCTTCGATAAACTGCAAAACTAATAAAAGTTAATGCTTCTTAGAATAACATGTATGTGTTAAGTCACACTGCACATTTTAAACAGCAATTAACACCATTTTGAAGAAACCTGGTGTGCGGTTAACGTTTTGTGACTGTCAGGGTAATCCTAAAATTCATTTAAAATTCCAAAGTAATCCGTTCGGTAGTTCGCAAATTATCGGTCTATTAAAACCCCCGACAAACAAGATAAGACATGAAAATCCTGCATTTTCGTTTCCTTGCAAGTGATGAAATTCCGAGAAATATGAAACTTTTGTCATTAAAATGGCGATTCTATTGTTGCTCGACTGCAGGTGTCCCAAATTCCACCCCTTCATTAGAAACACAATAATTTAACGAGTTTTCTGGAAGCCCCTAATAAACCATTTAGGATTATGGCATTACCGCCCTGACCTGTTCGTGATTAGTTTGCCTACGGCTTTTCTGATAAAACGGATTTAAAATTTGAATACACCGCCAATGGTCATCATAAAGTTACTTCTATTTTGGCCAGTGGCGTGCCGTTTGTAGACATGAATAAAAAAAAACTTATAAATCAAACTAATGGTAGATCCAGTAACCCCCCTTATTCACAAGTGGACCCGTCGAAACCCTTATGGAGTCGTTTAATACTGGAGTATCCTTCTCAAAATATTTCCACTCTACCTGCAACTTCTGAGAACATGACGTCACCGATTTACCAGGTGCACGTCTCGTAAAAGTTCAAAAAAGTCCACCTATGATTATATTAAAATTTTCTGAATGTGATAGAATTATATAGGATCATAAGAAGTAGTTGCAAATAGAATACCAAGGTTATCACAGAGTTAATTCGTGTTATCAACTGCTGCGTAATATATTTAAATTGGCAATTTTTATCTTTTGAAATTATTAGAGCAAAGCAGGAAACGCGAGACCACCAAGACTAATTGATTGGTGACTAGGTTTATTCAGTGGAAGGGAAAGCCTCAATAGATATTTTAATGTGCCAATAGTTAAATAATGCAGCATTTGAATAAAAACAGACCTTGAAAACCCAATCTTTACCAAGGCAAAGATGGTATCTCCAACTATTTGTTTAGTGTGATATTTTAATAAATTTGTTTTTGATAGTGATAAAACCAGTACCATTTCCATTCACTCAAGATTTACATCTCATACCTGACAAATATACCATACCTCATGCTCCCTCAAATATGCATAGATATCATCCCTGTACTCCTCCATTTCAAAGAAAATGTCTTTCGAATGAGCATTTTTCATTATGATTTGTTCAGCGAGCTGGCTGTTGTTCTCATCATTCACCTTCTCAATACTCATGGGAGTCTCCACTCCAGACTCTTCCTTAATATCCTCATATTTTGGTTCAAGCACCGGCAACTTGGCCACCTCCTTCAGCTTCTCAATGTTCTTCTGCCTAGCAATCTCCGCCAACTCCGACTTCGTAATAAACCTGTCTTCAGCCGTCCCCTTATAAACATTACTCTTACTAATCAACCGCAGCCTCTCATCAATCCGGGCCTGATGATCATCGTCCTCGTAAACCGTGAACGCCTCAAACTGAGCCACAGGAACCACCAAATTTTTCTTATTTTCGTTGTTCTGGGCATTCTTGACCCGCTCGTTCACCGAAGTCGACCGTTTCAGCGGATTAGACACCTTAGAAACCTGATAAAAAATTAAGGAAAACCGCTCCTAATATCAACCACTTACCTGTTTTCCTTTCGGGATGACTTTGTTGGTTTTGTTGTTGTCGATTACACCCAGAATGGGCCGCTTTTGCTGAGCAGCCATTACGTTATTCGACTGTTTTTGGCGCAAATCTGGCACCCTGTTTTCTTGATCTGGGTGAATTTTAACGGATGCCATTCCTTGGGACGCGCCGAAGCCGAATATATTCACAAAACGGGAAAATTCGCAAAGAACGTGGAAAAATGAACCCTTGACGTCCGCCCAAGCTACCCCTAACCGACAAAAACGACTGTTTTTAACGGCCAGATGCAAACAACCGAGAGTGCGGGAAACGAACAGCTGAGCAACCGTTGAAATGACAAATGCGGCCAATGGGAGTCGAGGATTGGAGTGACGTTTTGGGGAGGGGATAACGACTTGACGAGCTTTAACGAAAATTTAAAAAAAAATCTGGTGAGAAAAATCGCCAAAGGTTCGAAATCAATAACCGAGTGGTTGAGGATTTACTCGAATTGCTTTTTAATGAGTTTGCTTTTATTTAGCCACGACAATTGGCTTTTCTCACTTTTAATGGTCATCCAATCAGAGCGGCTGTCGGAAATGTCAACTGTCAAAACCAACAACGTGTTTAGAGAATAAACAATTTATTAATTTTAGTATTTTAAGTTTAATTGAATAACAGAAACATTATTGAGATGTCGGAACAGTACAAGTAACTTTCAATACTAGTTGTAGTGACCTCAATGTGCTTAATTACTGTTTCAGGATTTTGCACCCTGTGAAATATTACAGGGACTACTTGGCCCACAATATCCGCCCCGATGGACGAGAATTCGATAAATACAGACCCATTGTGGTCAATTTGGGTTCCATTTCTACGGCAGACGGTTCCGCTATAGCCAAAGTTGGTCGAACGACTGTGGTTTGCGGCATCAAAGCAGTGAGTTGAAGACACACTTTTTGATAAAAATTCATGTACTGTGTGTAGGAGCTGTGTCAACCTAAAGCAGAAGCCGCAAATGAGGGGTTTTTGATTCCCAACGTTGAATTGCCGCCTCTGTGTTCATCCAAGTTTCGACCCGGACCCCCAACCGAACAAGCACAAGTAGCGACACAGTTAGTTGCCGATATTCTAAAAAACTCAGAATGTTTAGACCTAAAAAGTTTATGTATATTTCCAGACAAATTAGCTTGGTGTTTGTTCGCCGATTTAATTTGTTTGGATTTGGACGGGTCCTTGATTGATGCGTGTATGATCGCATTGATGGCGGCGCTTAAATCAGGTAAAGTTATGGGAAGTTTAAGAAAATTGGGGCTGAATTTTCAAAATTACGGATGGAAGTCGTTTGACTTTGATTTTGCGCAGTTATTGACATTTTATAATTTAAAAAAATTTGTTGATCCCCTTTCAAAATTTGATTTGATTATAAAAAAGTGTTATTAATAACGTCGTGTCAGAAAGAAACTAAGTAAATCCTTATTGAAAAATTATATCTGGGCCAGTACGATTTTTCTTGAATTTTTTTTAGTAAAACATGAAACGGTCCATTTTGTTCATTTTGTCAGAAATGACTAATTTCGCCGAATTTCCGAGAATCCTACTACGAAATACTGGGTGTCAGATTGTGCATATCAAAATTAATCTACTTCTAGAGTGCCTTGACAGAATATGTCGTTTTTAAGAGTGTAGACCACGTGTGGACACGAAATGACAGTTTCAACTTTTAAAATATTTTAGGTTATATAACTGGTTCTTAGAAACACGTGTATGCCAAAATTGTTGTCAAATTTATCATGAACGTTCGTCTCAAAGTGTTTTCCAGTTTCCTAAGAAAAATTGCAGCAATCCACTTGACTGTAATTGTTTATAATTTGTCATTTTTTGAAGTAAAAAGTCAAACATTCAAAATATTTTCTGAAAATGGACTGCAGTTTAATTAAAATTAGGAAACTTTGAGGCGTCCAAATTGGAACATTGGTTCTACCTTCAAAATTTGTGAAGTGCTCACTTTTGTAATATCCTTTCCTCTGTGTTTTTAAAACCATATTTTAAGGTGCACTTTACGACTTCAAGTTAAAAGAAAACGTTTTACCAAAATATTTTCAGGTTCAAGATTTTAATGATAAAGCCACCATTTAAAATTGTTAATCCGGAACAAACAATTAATGAACAAAATATCAAAATTCAAAATTTAATAGCCACTGAAAAAGAATTATTAGCGCAAATCGAGTGTTTAGGAAAGTACTACCAAAATTTGTTGCAGTTTGAATTTTAAAAAATTAAAAATTAATGGCAAACTGGTGATTGCAGGTAAATTTGGAGTGAACAAAGAAGTAATTACAAATGCACTTAAATAAAAAAAAATTGAGGAGGTGGAGCCTTGAGTCTAGAAAAAGCACTGTCCATTAAATTTTCTTGTGGTTCATCAGCCTTTGAATCTTTATTAAAATTAAACTATTTATTGCCATCTGCGTACATTACGTCGAAAAATTGAGCATATCAAATTCTACACAAATTTTTTATTATTTAAAGATTTTAAAGACCATGAAAAAAACTGTCGTTTATATTTAGATGCGACGGCTTTCACGCCTGGAAAGCAGTATTGCCAGTGGCGGCTCCTCAGAGGAGCTGAGCCCCTTCTATTTTTTGGAGCTGAGCTCTCTCAAATTTTTTCGATGAAAGAATTTATATTTTTGTACATATTTGTTATTTTTCGAAATATTTTGTTTGATTTCATTTAGCTTGCTACTTAACGAGAGTGAGCAACGAAAATAATTCAGTTTCTTGTGTAAATATCGTAGATTATCTATTAAAAAATGAATTTAGTAGCTTTGATTATGATAAAAAGATAGCTATAAAACAAAAGGGGAGACCAACATCATATGCACTCCCATTAATGGTAATGACAGGTAGAAAGCACAACAGAGTATTTCATGAAAATAATTAATAGACTAAATGGTTAGGGGCTTCGGTTTTAAGAAACAAATTGTACTGTTGGAATTTGTATAGGCATGACGAAAAAAATTATTGAGATAATAATGGAAATTTTAAAGAATTGATAGATTTATTAAAAACATACGACTCGAAGTAACAAAATTTTTTAAATGAAACTACAATACAAAATGATTTAATTGAAAGCATCTGGTTTGTAATTAAAAATAAGACAGAAGAAAAATTGCAAAAAGCCTATTTCTTTTCTTGGCATCTTGGCAGATAGATGAAACTACAGATATAACTTGATAGATAGATGAAACTACAGATATAATTTGATAGATAGATGGCGAACTTGTTGAGAGATTTACTGGGTTCAACTATGTTACTGGTGGAAGAAATGCTGAAAGATTATTTCAATTATTAGCAAAAGAATTCGATCGGTTTGGTCTGAAAAGTAAGTTAATTGCCCAAACTTATGACGGTGGTGCAGTAATGTTAGGACATTTAAACAAAGGAAAGTACAAAGTATTGCACCTCAAGCCTTATTCACACATTGTTTTGTCCATAAACTCACAGAAGTTTTAACTTCAATTGTTAAAGATAGGGTGCTAAGTAACTCTCCTACTCGTTGGAATTTTTCAAGCAGATGTGTGTTTACTTTTAATTCACATAGAAAAAAAATAATTGATGTTTTTAATTTGATTTCCGATAGTGAAGAACTTTTAAATGATCATCAAACTTTGAGAGAAGCTTATGGGCTCAAATGGCTACTGCTAAAAAAATGTTATTTTTTACCTAAAAGTTTTTACAATGATTTTTGAACAAACTGATATAATTTTTCGAATTTTGCAAAACAGATCAACAGATGTTAATTATTCCAAGGATAGACTTAACTCAGTGACAAAAAAATTGAAAGATTTTAATGGCTTATTATATAAAATATTTTTGGACGATGCAAATGAAAACTTCACTGTGAATGAACCAGGACCTTCGCAGCAGAAAAAACAGAAAACGTCATTTAATTTTGAAAGACAACATTTACATTATAAACAGATTTATGCACAAATTTTGGATATCATAATCGTTCAACTTGAGAGCAGGTTAGCTTATATCGAGGCTCTACAGTATTTTGCTTTGGTAAATTATGAGAATTTTGGAACGTTTTTGAAACAAGTTCCTAGTAGTTTCCTACAAGAACTTACTAAGCAGTATTCGTCTTTTGGTCAAATATCGTTCAAAAATGAACTTTCCGTTCTTTATTCAGATACACATCTTCTAGGAGAATCTACATCGGTCCAAGAAATGGTAGCATTTATTTATAAAAATAATTTAACAGGTTGCTTGCCTCTGTTATACAAGCTTTTATGCCTAGTTTTATCAATTTCAATAACTTTTGGTTCTGTTGAGAGATTTTTTGTTAAATGTATCGTCAAATTGCAATAAGTGAAAAGCGTTTGATAGATAAATTAAAAGAGAATAACTCATTTTATGAGAATATAATCGATCACTTTGCCAACATGAAAAATCGTGTATTACCACTTTCGTATAAGAGTCTTTGGTTGCAGTAGTGCACAATTTTTAAACCGAGGAATTTGATTTTTATTTGTTGTTTCGTTTTAATCCTAAGAATTTATTTTAGTTTGTTTTTTAACAATATGTATTTGTTATTTTTTTGAGAAATTATTTTTATTTTATACTTAGTAAGTGGGATAATAGAGTTCCCAACGAACCACCCAGTAAAATGCAAAAATGATGTAATACGGATCACACCTAAAACATATGAAAAGTAGTGCTTTTCAAATTTGAACCTCCTCTGAAGAAAACTTCACGAGCCGCCACTGAATACTGCACAGCTTCCTCTACCATACTAGGATGTGAAACCCTGGAAAACTTTTGAGCAATAGCCACTCATCTTTAGTTATCATGATATGTGCATTATTGCAGCGGTGGAAACAAGTAATTTCGTATCACTTTAAAGGAAATTCCACAAATCATTGGGTTATCACATTAAAGAATTAATTTTTAGCCACAAAAACGAATCTAAATATAGTAAGTACAATATAATCTCACTAATCCGGCACTATTAAAAACCGGAGGGTGCAGGATTATTGGAATGTTCGGATTACTAGATTATAGTGAAAAAGTCATTGGTAATGAATAAAATAAAGCATTTCATAGAGGGAGTAAATGTATGTAATGTATTAAATTAACATGTACATATGTAATTACATAGTTTTAAAATAATCCTTAATTGAGGTCTGCTTTTGTGCAACTTGTAGTCCTTGTTTAAAAACCTTTTCTCGCATGTTGCGAAGAATTATAATATCTTTGGCAGATATGCCGTTTTCTTCTGCCCATGTTATGCAGGTATTGAAACAAATCAATGCATCATCTGGTTTAACTTTTACAGTTGTAGTGGTTGGTGGCTCCAATATTTCTACAAAGCTTTCTTCTTCTTGTACTGCTTCATATAAAATTTCTTCATCTGTCATAATTAAATAAAAATGTAAATGGCTGTACTGCAGATTCGTCGCTTGATAATTTCTCACCCGATATGGTTAATAGACGGATACCAAATCGCCTTTTAAATTTATCCAGCCATCCATCGCTGGCACGAAAATCATCTTTGTGGGTAATTTTTTTATAAAATTCGATTGCTTTGGCTTTCAGAATTTCTCCAGATATAGGAGTGTGCTTAGAACGCAGTTGTATGAACCACATGTAGAGAGCGTTTTCCATGTTTGGATAATCGCCAACTTTTAGTGTTTTACGCTTACCTGGCCCAGATTCCATTGTCTTGACGCGGTCTACTATCTTTTGCCTTTTTTTCTTAAGGTCGTATATAGTAGCACGCCCAACACTATATTCTTTTGCCAATTTGCACATGTTTTCTCCACTATCTAACTTCTTTAAAATCTCCATTTTATTATTCAAATCTAGTGTCTTGTGTTTGCGTTTATTTGACATTATAAACTATTCTCACTTGAAAAAAACAAATACGTAAGCACGTGACGTGATAAGTTTTGAAGTTAGACTGCTAGTCGACGACGCGAGCGACCGAAGCGCTCAGGTGAAGAGGGGCGAGGGAGGCGTGGGCGGAGGGTCCCGGATTATTGGACGTGCCGATCTATCGAAGTGCCGGATTTGTGAGATTATACTGTATTACGACAGATATGGGTGCAGAAAATCAAGCGATGTGGAAATATTTTAGCATTAAATCTAGAAAAATTGTTCTTCAAAATTTCATTTCTAATCCAGCTGATGAATCAAAAAATATATATTTCATGACAGATCCTTCTAACATTTGCAAAAATATCAGGTCTGCATTGGTAAATAACAAAATTATGATAAGTCCGGACGAGTTTGTTAATAAGTATGCATTATTGTACTCCCAGTTTAAAGTGGTTTTTATGACAAGAGAATAAACATTATCACCTCATTATTACCCCACGACGGTCAATATGAGTTGAATAACAAAGTCCGGCCCTGCAAGAAACCGACCACTTTCTTATTTATGGCTAGGTTTACTCCATTGTCCTCATCAACTTCGACACAATGGACCTATCATAAAAACCATTTTAAACTGGGAGTACAATATCAAGCAATGAGGTTAACATTTTCCATTGACGACTTTGCGGAATTTCAAGAAAATTTCAAATTAAAGTTGTTTAAGAGAATTTAAAGTTATTTCATTATCATATCCAACAGAACTTGTATTTAATTTGTTTTTAACTATGGAAAAAACTTTTGGAAATTTAAAGAAGACACTCTTAAAAACGACATATTCTATCAAGGCCCTCTAACTTCGCCACACTAAAATATTGATGACGTCATCTCCGAAATTATTAAATACGTTTGTTCAAAAAATATATCCTAAGATTAATTATAATAAATTCAAACAATTATAAACGAAGATCAATCTGTCAGATGATACCTTAATAATTCAAAGTCTACTTTTTGTAATTGTAGTGAGGCTGCCAGTGATTGACTATGACCCAGCCTTAGACAACAAACAAGCAAATTTAGAACATCGGAAGCCCCTAAATATCACGAATATTCCAAGCTCGACGACCTTCGCCAAATTCGACGAGTAATAATTATTCATTTGTGGGAAATTTATAATCTAGTAATTTATTTTTTAGTAAAATCGTGATGGACCCAACAGTGGACGAGGAAGATTTAAGTACAGCACTAATAACAATAGCGCTTAGAAAAAACGAGTTGTGTTTTGTGCACAAACCTGGCGGAGCGTCTGTAACTGACGAGCAGTTGTTAAAGTGTATAGACGAGAGTCAAAAACGGGCAATAGTTATAGAGGGTATTGTTGAAACAGCTTTGCGAAGTTTGCAATAAACACTTGTTTTTATATAAATGTAAATCCTATATTATTTAAACCAAAATTTTTAACAGGTCATATCTTCACAGTACGTCTGTGTGATGATTTAATTTTTGTGTTGCTTAAATTATCACACAGTTCGGAAAAATCTATTGTCTTTATTTTACAAATGAAACTGAAGAAAAAAGAAAAATCAACACTTTACAATTTAACGAGTATACATCATCGGTATTGCCAAATGTCTGTAACACGTGTCCAATTTATTTACAAAAAATACGAAACATACGCAAATAATATACATTATTACAAAATACTACAGCTCACCACATATTATACAAACTTTTAAAGACTAAAGATGTTAGGGTAATTTTTTACAAAGTATTTTACATTTTTCTCATTTAATTCAACTCGATAAACTCAAACAAGTCTAAAACAATCTAGGTATGTACACGCGAAAAGTGAAACAATTTTTGGAGGAGAGGAATAATAGTACAAAAATACCAGGAATAAAATAGGAAATATTTTTGTTTTAAAATAAAAAGGGGCGTAATAAAAATTTGTATATTTTAACAATGTTTAATTTTTTACATCGTTGATAAGGTTTTCTTTACAAAGAATAACATCAATTTTCTTGTTTATGCCTGATATCTTAATACTACAATCGATTCTGATGGTTTTATATAAAGAGAGAAACTGAAATAAATATGAATACATAAAAAATCAAATCAAAATATACACAACCATTATGAGTAAAAAAATAAAACTACTTAAAAACAATCATAAATTATTAATAAATTGGATACATTTAAATGTATTTACAAAAGAAACATATTTACAAATAATTGAAAATTACTCACTTTTCTTCCAACAATATTGCTAATGCACTTAGTGATATTTTTTTCTTTAATATGAATCTCCGCGCTCATAAATAAATAACAAAAAGTATACATTTCCCTAGTTTATATACACTGATTTACCTATTACAAACTAAACAAAAAGAAACTGCATCATTCAGAATGCACAAATTATTCATACCCTTTCCAGAAACCCGAATCAAAAAAAAATCTCAATTTGTACTGGTTTACTAAAAAAAAGGCGGCAGTAAATTTGATAGGCCTAGTCCCCACTCGACAAAAAATTAAATTAACTGATAGGTCCACATTTGGCACCGCGTTTGTTTTTAATGTAGGAACGACAATTGTGCAATGTAATGCAGTAGATGAGATCAACGATATCTCTTTTGTTTCGAAAAATAACACTCAAGCAGTTGAAATAAAAATTCAAACATTACACAGTAACCCCAGTACTATTTATTTTTCCATGCCGTCCTTCGAACACGAAATAAATAATAATACTGGCTTTGATCACAGAAATTGTGGGAAGAACTATAACAGGTTATAAATTAAGGATAAATTAATGTGATGTTTGATTTTTGACAATGGCTCGAGTGCATTTAAAAAGGTTACAACACTCTATGCTCGGCAGTTTAGTTAGTGAAGTACTCAGCGAAACTAAAACGTATAAAAATAAAAACAAAGTTAACAGGAAAGACTAGTTCGATAAAATAATGTACAGAGAAATAGAACATTACTGTGGATCAGAAGTATTGGATCTTCTCCTAATTTTTCCCGCGACGTTCGGCAGGTTCTTCTGCTGCTGGTTCAGACAGAGTTGCTGATACTGTTGAAACTGAGCTTGCTTTTGTAGTTGACTTGTTAGTGAAGCGTTTGACGGCAGCGTTACTGCTGCATCTAAGAAAATTTACTCTCAAGTTTCAAAAAGAATATCACAGAAATTACTTAATTTAATGGACTATGACAGCAATAAAGCCAATTTCAAGGAATGAAGCATGCATTAATTAATTGAATTAATTCATTAGAATGTCTTGACGTTAAAATAATCACTTTCTATTGATATTTAATTGCAAATCTGTCAACTGACTTGAGTTCTGGGTTGCCATCTTGAGGGTTATTGGTGTTCTTTGGATATTTTGTTGCATCCTTGGCCTCTGTAAAGGGGTCACTAGTTGATACGATTGGCCGCCCTGAGATAACGACACCGACGTGGCGCCCTGAGCCCGGATACCCTGTTGGGCTAAGCCCTTCACTCCCGACGTGACTAATTGGGCTTGAATTTAAAGAAAAACGCTCATTTACTAACACGAATCACTAACTATACTTGATAATTAGATTTTTTAATGAATAATAGGGACAAACAAAAATTTTACACTAGTATCTTAAGACAAATGTATCCATTACTCATTAAATACAACGACAGTTGACTTAGCAGTGCTCGTAAAATGTAAAAGGGCACATGAAATGGCTTCGTTATTTCGAAAACACTCAAAAATTATGTTGAGATGTGTTTTACGTTTTAATTTTAACCTAGATTATAGACGTAGATGAACTTGCATCTGCTGTAAATAGAAAACGCATCAACAAAATAAAAAAAGTGCACTGAAGTGCTGCGCAACAAAAGTGCGTGAGCTTGTAAACACAAATTTAATTTTAAAACAAACAAGTGCAGTTTACTTACGACACATCTGTACTGCCTGAATATTTCTGGAAAGTTGTCTTCGCAAATATTGTATATTTTGGGTTTTACAAAAATCCGGAAAGTTTTATTTGCCCCTTCAATCACGATAGTGTTCGAAAAAATGTTCACAGTCGACCCAGAATTACGAAATCGCGGGACTCAAGGGCAAGGTTCGTTTTAGATTCAGTAGTTTTAACAAAGTCAAGTGTTATGCAACATATTTGGAAAAGAAAAGTTGTTAGTTAAAGCAATTCACCTAGATTTATAGACATCTTTGAGAGTTTAGATATACTTAAGTTAGAATGTTTAATGTTGGTTCTCTCCCCTATTTTTGCTATTCGCTTTGGCGAAAAGGCAGAATAAAAGTAGGATGAGTAGAAATTAGAGTGTGGGTCGTAAAGTTTATGGATTTAATTCTTTTCTATCCGAGAAAACGCTAACCTGATATGTTTCAATTTTTACTTTGTATTGTAATCCAATTTGTAATTGGACGACTAGCTACTGTATGTTTTCTCGACGTTTCATGACTCCTAGAATACGAAAGAATAGGTCCTCCGTTTCTCTCTATCTATCTGACTCCCGTCTGTCCGGATTAGACAGATAACATCCGAAACTACTGGACCGATCGTTGTCAAATTTTATGAATATTAGGATTATCGCGTAGATGATAAAACGCTAACCAAAATTTGGGTAGTCATTCACACCAACAATAGGATGACGTCCAAAATTTCCATTACTAAATATTATTTAATTTTATCAAATAAGATACTCTTGCAGTTGTTTATGAATCCCTGAGTTTTTACTTTTGACATCCAGATTTTTGAAAAAAAAAAAAAATTAAAATTGTATAACATTTTCCAATTTAAGTTTCAAAGTGCACAAGCGAATGCTCTGAAATCTTGCAAACGTGTTAATGTTATCATAATATGAAGAATGGCATCATCTTACAACTTTGTCAAATAAGTGTTACTTAAATGTTAAAAAGTAACATGAATCCGTATTAAATTTTTCTCCTAGACATCAAGATTTTTGGAAAAAAATCAAAATTGTACAATGTCTCGTTTTTTCAATTATTCGATGTTTTGATATCTCGATTTTTCAAGTTTCGATTTCTCAGTTTTTCGATATTTCATTTTTGGGATTTTGCAATTTTTCGATTCTTCAGGTTCTCGATTTTTCAAATTTTCTATTTTTTGATTTTTTTATCTTTTGATTGTTCTATTTTCCTACATTTCAGTTTTACGATTTTTCAATTTTTCGGAATTTTAAAATTACAGTTTTAGGTGTTTTTAAATTTTCGATTTTTATTTATTTTTTTATTTTTCTTCTCGACTTATCGATATTTTGATCTTCCCATTTCTCGATTCCTCATTTTTTCGATGTTTCGGCTTCTTGACTTCTCAATTTGTTGATTTTGCGATTTTCATATTTTCAATTTTCTCTCGACTTCGATTTCTCGATTTTTAATTGTTTGATATCTTAATTTTCTGATGTTTCAGTTTTAGAATTTTTCAGTTATTCGATTCTTCGATTTTTCAATTTTTCGATATTTGGTCTTGGGATTTTTCAATTCTTTTATATTTTAATTGTTTAATTTCTTAAATTTTAGAGTTTTCGATTTATCGTTTTTTGATTCTTCGGTTTTTGGATTTTTTAATTTTTCGTTTTTTAAATTTTACATTTTTCAATTTTTTATTTTGTTAGTATTTCAATTTTTCGATTTCTCAATTTTCATGTTTTCGATTTCTCAACTTTGCAAAAACCTAGATCTTTCGATTTCTCGGTTCTTCGATTTTTTGACTCTTCGGCTTTTCGATATTTCAAATTAGCAATTTTCGAAATTTCGATTTCCGGATTTTTCGAATTTCCATATTTTGTTTTTTCAACATCATGATTCGTAACTTCTCGTTCAGGTTTCCAAATCACGATTTTCGATTTTCCAGTTTCTCGAATTTTCGTTTTTTCAAATATTTGATTCATCGAATTGTCGATTTTTAAAATTTCCCATTTTTAATTTTCGGGATTTCAATTTTCAGACTTCTCAATTTTTCGTTACCTATTCGAATTTTCACTTTTTGTAGTTTTCGATTTTTATTTTTTCCATTTTTCAGTTTTTTGATTTTTCAACTATTTTCCTTTTCGATTTTTCGATATTCGAATTTCCACTTTTTTTAGTTTTCGATTTTCAATTTTTCCATTCTTCAGTTTTTCGATTTATGGACTGATCAATTTTTCGATATTTGAGTTTTGGGATTTTCCAATTTTTGATATATTCATTTTTTAATTTCTTAAATTTTACATTTTTCAATTTTTCAATGTTACGATTTTTTAATTTGTTAGTACATATTCATTTTTTCGAATTTTACATTTTTCAATTTCTCGATTTTTTGTTTTCCATTTCTCAACTTTGGAAAAAATTTGGTTGTTTCGATTTCTCGGTTCTTAGATTTTTGCAATTTTCGAAATTTCGAATTTTTGATTTTTCACTATTCGATTTTTTTTAATTCGATTCGTGGGTTTTCGTCTGAGGCTCCAAATCATGATTTTTCGATTTTAAATTTCTAGATTTTGTAATTTTGCGGTTTTCAAATTTTTAAAATTTGAAAACCGCAAAATGTGTTTAATTTTTTGAATTTTCGGGATTTCAATTTTTCCATTCTTAAGTTTTCAGACTTCCCAATTTTTTTACTTTCTCGATTTTTCGATATTCGCATTTTCACTGTCTGTAGTTTCCGATTTTTAATTTTTCCATTTGGCAGTTTTTCAATTTCCAATGCTCGAATTTTCGATTTTCGATGCTTGGATTTTCCTTCTTTCTAGGTTTCAATTTTTGACTTTTTAAATTTTCGATTTTTCAATTTCTACGTTCCTCAATATTTCAATGTTTACTTTTCGATTTTTCGATATTCGAATTTTCGCTTCGTTTAGTTTTCGATTTTCAATTTTTCCATTTTGCAGTTTTTCGATTTTTCAATTATGTATTCTACTTTTCGATACTCGAATTTTCAATCTTTCCAGTTTTCGACTTTTAACTTTTCAAATTTTCGATTTTTCAATTTCTTCATTCTTCAGTTTTAAGACTTTTCAATTTTTCGAATTTTACATTTCTCGATTTTTTGTTTTCGATTTCTCAACATTGGAAAAAATTTGGTTGTTTCGATTTCTGAGTTCTTTGATTTTTCGGCTTTGTGATATTTCAGATTTGCAACTTCTGAAATTTCGATTTTCAATTTTTCAAATTTTCGGTTGTTCAGTATACGATTTTTTTAAATTTTGATTTCTCGATTTTTAGAATTTCAATATTTCGTTTTTTCTATATTTCGATTCGTGGATTTTCGTCCGAGGTCCCAAATTACGATTTTCGAATTTTTGATTTTAAATTTCTAGATTTTCGGATTTTCGGTTTTCCAATTTCTTGGATTTTCATTTTTTCGAATATTTGATTCATTGAATTGTCGATTTTTAAAATTTCTCATTTTTAATTTTTTGAATTTTCGGGATGTCAATTTTTCCATTATTCAGTTGTTAGACTTCTCCATTTTTTTTACTTTTTCGATTTTTCGATATTCGAATTTTCAATCTTCCTTATTTTCGACTTTTGACTTTTCAAATTTTCGATTTTTCAAGTTCTGTATTCTTCAGTTTTTAGACTTTTCAGTTTTTCGATTTATGGATTGATCAATTTTTCGATATTTGAGTTTTGGGATTTTTCAATTTTTTGATGTTGATTTTTTATTCTGTTAGTATGTACATATTTCAAATTTTCGATTGTTCGAATTTTACATTTCTCGATTTTTTGTTCTCTATTTTTCAACTTTGGGAAAAATTTGGATGTTTCGATTTCTCGGTTTTTCGATTATTCGGCGTTTTGATATTTCAAGTTTGAAATTTTCGATTTTTCGGTTTTTCAGTATTCGAATTTTTTTAATTATGATTTCTCGATTTTTAGAATTTCAATACATATTTCGTTTTTTCTATATTTCAATTCGCGGATTTTCGTTCGAGTTTCCAAATCACGATTTTCGAATTTTTTATTTTTCGATTTTAAATTTTTAGATTTTCGAATTTTCAGTTTTCCAATTTCTCGGATTTTCGTTTTTTCTAATACGAGTACCTACTTGATTTAATCGAATTGTCGATTTTTAAAATTTCTCATTTTTAATTTTTTTAATTTTCGGGATTTCAATTTTTCCATTCTTCAGTTTTTAAATTTAAATTTTTTTACTTTTTCGATATTCGAATTTTCACTTTTTGTAGTTTTCGATTTTCAATTTTTCCATTTTTTGGTTTTTCAATGTTATATTTTACTTTCCGATTTTTTAATTTTTCGAGTTTTCTATTTTCGATACTGAAATTTTCGGTTTTCGATGCTCGAATTTTCAATTTCTCTAGTTTCAATGTTTGACTTTAAATTTTCGATTTTTCCATTTCTACGTACTTCAGTTTTTAAACTTTTCAATTTATCGATATTCGAATTTTTACTTTTTTTAGTTTTCGATTTTTAATTTTTCCATTTTTCAGTTTTTAGATTTTTCATTTATTTTACTTTTCGATTTTTTGATTTCTTGAGTTTTCGATTTTCGATGCTCGAATTTTCAATCTTCCTAGTTTTTGACTTCTGAGTTTTCAAATTTTCGATTTTGCATTTTCAACATTCTTCAGTTTTTCGACTTCAATTTTTTTACTTTTCGGTTTCTCGAATTTTCAATTTCATTCTTCAGTTTTGCGGTTTTTTATTTTTTCTACTTTTCGATTTTATTGTTTCTCGAGATCTTGGTTTTTCAGTTTACGATTTTTTGACTTTTCGGAAGATTTAGCTATTTTTTCGATTTTCGAACTTTCAGTTTTTCAATTTTCTGATTTTCTGTTTTTCGATGTTCGATTTTTTGAAGTTGTTCTTTACGCTACTGGTTTTTAATTTATAGATGTAAAAAACAAACATGACAAAATCAAATTTTATAATGTTTCAAAGAAGCGGAATTTATTATGTCTGTAGTTCTATCGAAATAACCTATCAATTTTTTAATTTACAAACGTGTTATTTTATTATTATTATCATTGATAAGAAAAAATGTTAGCCCATCACAAACAGCATGTCAACGGTGAGTATTTGTGTCAAGAAAAAATTTGTGAAAATATTAACGCAATTTTTTGAAAAACAACTTTCCAGAAATTCCTTAAAATCCAGCCAGTGGTACTAAAATCAGCCGTCACACAGCCTCAACATGAACTTTTGAACGATTTCTAGTCGACACAAAACGAACACGTCTAGACCCCCACATTAATACTGTTAGAAGTGTTAACCACAAACACATCTAACGCACCTCTAGCAACAAAAGCCCACACCCAGACTCACCTATGTTGGAACTGCCTGCGTTCGCCAGCACCACCGTCGGGGTCCCGACCCCGATCGAGTTCACCCCGCTCCCCATACTGCCCGCCGTCTGCGTGATCGTGTTCGCCGACGTCGTCGACGTGCTCACCGGCAGCGAGACCAGCAAGCTCGTCGGGTGTCCCTGGATGTTCCCCGTGGACGAAACGTTCAAGGACAGCGAGATCGGCTGCGCGAACCCCGGCAGCTGCACTTGCACGTTCTGCAGCCCCGACAGGCTCTGGAGCTGGGCGAAGTTGATCGTGTTCGTGCTCTGCGGCGGCGGACTCGACAGCGGCGACACCACCGTGTTGGCCTTGGGCGGCGACTGCACCATGTACTGCAGGCCGGACTTGAGGCTCTGGATGAAGTGGGTGGAGTTCTGCGTGCTGGAGGTACTCGTGCCCGACGAGCCCGCCAGCTTCTCCAGGAGGAGGGAGTTCGTGTTGGGGCCGACGATGTCGGGACGGTCGGCGGCGGGCGTGCCCACCAGGAGCGCCGACAGCGCCGACTTGCTGGTGTCGCTGGTGCTGTTGGCGATGATCTGCTGGTTGACGACTTGCTGTTTGACGGGAACTGTTGTGTAGTTTGTGTAACTGCCGCCACTGTTCACTGAAGTCAATGTTATCGTTTGGCCCTGTTGTTGCGACAATTGCGAATTCAGTTCGGAAATGTTCATTCGATTGTTATTGACGGCTATTAGATTGCTATGGTTTAACACTCGCGCGTTTGCAACGTTTGAGAGAGTCATTTTACGAGCTAGAAGTTTTTGGTTTATAGTCTGAACTTGTTGCGGTAACAATGAAGTGTTGTTTATTGCGTTCACCACTGCTGCACTGGCGTCACTGTTTATATTGCTAGCTGGGGAGCTATTGAGGAGGTTGATGATAGCGGTATTGCTTCGGTTTGACGTTAGCTTCTGTTGCTGCTGCTGCTGCTGTTGTTGTTGCTTAGCGTTGGCTAAATAAAAACAATTATTTTAAAAATTATGAAAAGGAAACGATGAAATAAATTAAGTTACCTTTTTCTATTCACTTTCTTAACTGGTTGTCAAATGTTGGTAATTATTATTACTACTACTACTATGACTGAAATATTTTTAAAAACACACAATCCAATTTATACACATTTTATAAGAATCAAATCTCCTGGGCAAGGAATAAAACAAAGAAATACGTAACAAACACCAAACATGCAGCAGTAAAAGTGTGGGATCTCCGTTCCTATTGGTTAGAAAACAAGTGTCAGGGTTGATCATCTATTCGGTTACTCTGGTATACCCTAAATTCATTTACTCACTGACGTCACAGGCAAAAGGTCTTGAAAATGGGATCACAGAAACCTTAAACATCATTTGGCACCAAGGAAATACAATAAAAAAGTTTAGATCGCCCATTACCACTTTAGTAGTGCGAATTCTTAAATGTCAACTCTATTGTGGATTATGAAGACGTTGCAATAGATGACGCACAACAAATCGTTAATGCTTTTTGTAAATATTTCGAGTCGATCTACGCACAGGGTAATAGGTCAACGGGTGTGGATTCTGGCAATATGTCGAATGTTATACTGAATAACAACTGTTTGCATTTAAGTCATATTTTCGGATAAAGATATAAGCAGAGCTATAAAAAAAAATAAAAGCAAATCCAGATGGTATTCCTAGTTTCCTAGTTAAAGATTGGTCCTCATCTGTTCTTGTTCAATTTCATTTTAAAATCTACGGTCTTCCCAGAAGTTTGGAAAAAAAAATTGCCCAGTTTTTAAAAGCGGTGATAAGCCAAATATTACTAAGTATAGAGGTGTGATGTTAACTTCACATTTTGGTAAGTTGTTTGAAAACATTTTGCTGTTTTACATATTTAATCATATAAAACATTTTATTATCTCTGCTCAACATGGATTTTTCGAGGGAAAATTCACGTCAGCAATTTGCTTACGTTTATACCATTTATTTCGGAAGCTTTAGATAAAGGGAAACAAGTAGATATTATACAGATATATTAAAAGCATTTGACAAGGTAGATCATAGTTTATTAATTAATAACTTGGATCGTTTTGGCATTTCCAATGATATGCTTAAATTAATGGAGTCATATTTGTCAGGTCGTAAACTGTACGATGAATATAATAACTTAAATCCTGAACTGCGATATTTATATTAAATGATCTGTGTTGTGATATTAAGGCTAGTCATTTATATGCTGATGATTTTAAAATTTATAAAATAATTTTTAGTGAAAAAGATTGTGATTCTTTGCAAGAAGACTTAAATGTAGTACTTAAATAGGTAATGTGATGAAAACTTTTTACCTCTAAACAAAAAATGCAATATGTTATTTTTTAGAAATTAGCAACCGGTTATGTACTCACCATTTTGAAAAAGCAACGTTAATAATAGTGAAGGAAATTTTGGACCTAGGTTATTTGATCGAAAACTTTCTTTTGTGCCTGATTATGAAACTTCCATTGCGGCTAGAAAATCTATGAGATATACGAGTATAATACGAAATGGGAGAATGTTTTCCAGCAGCACACTTGTGTTATTGTACAATACATTTATTAGGTCTAGACCATGTCTAGACTGGAGAATGCAACCATAATCTGGTCTCCATCCTACGCTAAATATATTCTTATCTTCGAACGTTTGCAGGTTCGATTTTTGAGATTTGCATTTTATAGACGTTTTGGTTATTATCACTGTCCTGACACTTATCTACCAAATGCAATCCCCCAGCTATTGTGTAGCACTCTCCGCGCGCAGTAGTGTCGACCACTCGATGCGGTCAGCTACATCGAGTGCAGTGGCGGGACCTGATACTCGCGTGTTTGCAAAACTAAACGTATTCTTCAAAATTATAAAAGACGTTTCTAGCTAATACGACCTGCCAAATGACCACTCTGCACGTGGACGTAAACACTGAGGGCTTCATACAAGTAATAAACATCGACCATCGTGGGATCGGGTAGCAAGCTCCCGACCGTCCGACACGTTTACGCCAAGGCATCCTCTCTGTCGCGCGCGCCACTGTTACGTACTTGGTAGATAGTTGTCAGGCCTTTAGTTATTATCCATTGAGAAATATTTCAACAAATTGTTTATTAGAAGAATTTTCAGTTGTTCGTTTAGAAACCAGAAGCTATATAGCTATCGCCTCATTTATGCATAAATTGTTAAATAATGTCATTGATTGTCCTGAAATATTGAATAAAATTTTGTAAAAGCAATTCGAGCTAGAGAATTGATGATGCTGATTTATTGAAGTTTGCACCTATACCTAAGATTTGTCATGTTATTAACCATTATTTAGGAAGTGAAACTGATATTTTTAACATTAAAATACATTTTTTGCGTAGCTGGCGAATTATGTGCTATCATTAAGCTCAGGAGTAGTAATTAATTTGATTGTATTTTTATATTCACTTTTCTCCTGTAAATGGGTTACATATGTATGTCTTGGGCAAATATACGTATTATTATTATCACCGCGGTCGGAAAAAAGCACTCCAATTTTTTTGTGGAACTTAAATATATTAGTTGTGTTTTCGTATATAGCGGGTGCTTGGAAAGTAGCGGATTAACTCTCCGCTACGCTCTTAACAATCAACTGGCGAGTCTGGGAAAAATAGTAAAAAAATTCCTTCTCTCATTTTGGTCGACTTACAAGGGTTTTAAAATTGTTTTTTTTTTTCTACGTTTAACAACTAAACAACACATTCATTACACAACATACACGCATAACTGCAACCATAATTGTTTTCTATAAAATTCTAAATAACTACGTTGACTGCGGTATGTTACTTAATGATATGAACTTCTATGTACCTAGATTTAATTCCAGATCAGCTGCTACGTTATATTGTAGGACTGTATGTCATATTCTGTAATTTAAGCAGAACTGAGAGTACGAATTCTTTTCATATATTTAACTGTAATATGAATAGTCTTAGGTTAAGAATTAGAGAGAATTTTACATAACTTTAGTAGGCACGAGAATTAAAGAGTATAAAATAAGAATTAGTATAAAAAAATTATTGCAGCTGTATTAGGATTGTTGATTTTTTATTTATCTTGACTTTTATTTTGTATGGTAGATTAGTGTCACTGGACTGTCAATTTAATTTTAAAGTTACATGTTGTCCTCTAAAGGGAATGTTTATATTCTGTTGGATAATAAATCTATTTATTTATTATTTATATCATAACTAGTAACAAAACTGTTAGTTAACATTTCTCTCACCTATGACCATGTTTAATTACCATTTCAGTTAGAATGTATAAAATCACTCTTATCTGAGCAGGTACTAGCCCCGCCCACCCACCCTCTCTTTTCTTAGCGAATGTCATTTGCCAGAATCAGTCTTAACAGGTACTAGCCCCACCCACCTGCGCTCTCTTTTTTTAGAGGATATGTCATTTGCCAAAACCGGTCCTATTCTAGCAGGTACTAGCATGATATAATAATCCTCTAGGTATGATACTCGTGCGGCTCAAAATGAAACCAGTTCGCGCAGTAACGTCACTCGGTGAGTAGAACTATTGGAATTTCAACATAAAAGCACGAAGAATCGCTAATATTTTTGATTTTTATTGTTATAATTCGTTATGTATTTAAAAAATGTGTTGTACAATCTCTATATTATAATATAATAATTATAATGCTGCATTAAACAACCTGAAAACTAAATTTACGTGAATTACCTGAATTAAATTGTAAAAACGAATTTAACGGAGTTTGATACGTATTTCTATTGTTTGCAACAAATTAAAATATCGCGTTTAATATTATTTTTCGTGTACTCAATAGAAAAGTGCGGCTTTAATTGGAGATAATTTTAAAAAAAGTGCTATTTTCCCGTTAGTAGCGCACAGGTTATTTGAAAATGCCAAGATCTGCAGAATTATTCATTTTTTGCTGCTTTTTTAGGTTTTTATTTGATTATCAATCATGAACAGACTTGTTGTTATGGTAATTATGCACATTTAACGTGAACATAATTATCTTAAATAGAAATCTATACATGATCGTTTTCCGGGTTGGAACCGTGTAAATTGAGTTTTTGGGCTCACGGTTCCAACCCGGAAAACGATCATATATTGATTCCGACCGTGAAAGCCTCCGAAATTAATAGAAATCTACTTTAGATATTCTGTTCCAAACTTTCAAAAACTGAGTACAAGAAAAAGTAACAACTAAAAATAAATACAATGTACTATTGAACTGTAATCTACATGTTACTTAACAATTTTTCGATGATTTTTCTTGGAGTGAGAATTGTTTTCATAGCTTCATTTTCTTTTGCAAGTTCGTCGTTTTGTTTTTTAAGATAAGCAATTTTTGCTTCTGAATCTTCTCTCGGTATATCTTGATCTGTATTTGTACTACGTAAAAAAACATAATTAAATATTGGATATACGTCTTCAAATAATCGTTTCCCTTGAGAAAGAAATATACATCATGCAAAAAAAAAAAAAAACGTGCAAACATAAAAGTAATTCTCCAAAAAAAGCACTTTTCTTGCGTAAATACAATAAATGTGCAATGTACCCAACATATTTACTTGCAGATTCTGTTTTATCTTCCAAAGCAGCACTTGCGTCATTGGTTTCAGTGCTATAAAATAAATGAAAATATAAAATAATTGCTAAAAAAAGGGTACTATAAGATGTTCTTTGTGAACTTTTTTTTTTAATGAATTTGTTTGATTTATATCAATATTCAAGTAAAATAACCTATTTAATTTCGCGATTTCATCCCTAGAACAAATTTCTTTAACTAACTTGGCTGACCTCCAGACTTTGTTTTTTTTTTTCCTTTTTTAGGAAGATAATTCAGAAGTTCGTGTTGCAAATTTCGTCCGAAATCGTCTTCACTAAAATGCTGTGAACACACTCTAGCATTTTTTACTATAACAGAGTCCGAACGACAACAAGTAATAACCCATACTTGTCCCTTGGAAATGAATAAAATTGTATGTCTTTTTGAAAATGTCTTGATCGTTTATCGCTATTACACCCAAAAACGGCACAACGCATCGTTGTGACTTTATAAAATTATTAAAACATAACGTGTAGCCACTAAACCTTCTAAAAATACGGGGAAGACAGAAAAACGTCGCAGAATACGCGCGAAATGCTTGTGTTTACTCACCGAGTGACGCCACTCCCCCACTCCGTACGTGCGCAATATCATACCTAGTATTTATTGTATCATGAGGTACTAGTACCGCCCACCCGCCTTCTTTTTATTTATTTTATTTTATTAATTACGTCCCCCAACAGGCACTGAGGCCCAATTACAGGGGAACGGGACATACACGTTACACCCAGAGCCATGGCGGGAATCGAACCCACGACCCAAGGTGTAGCGGGCAAGCATGATGCTAACTAGCCCACCCCGGGTCCTCCTTTTCTTAGAGGGTATGTCATTTGCCAAAATCAGTTTTATCTTAGCAGGTACTAGCCCCGCCCACCCGTCCGCTCGTTTCTTAGACGGTATCTCATTTGCCAAAATCGGTCTTATCTTAACAGCTGCTAGCCCCGCCCACCCACCCTGCTATGACGATTTATCAACACATTTATTAGAAATTAAAATGCATCCAAAAATTTTGTACCCCGACGAACAAAAAACTCAACAATAAGGTAACCATCCTCAACGCGGTTCGTTGGGTCAATTACAAGTACTGACCTCACGCACAGTAGACGGAGACGTTTTGAGTACTTAGTGAATAAAAAGCAGTTTGTTTTAATTATTATAAAAAGATTATTTTTTTTTGTTTTAAAACATGAGACATTTTTTTTTGTTTTAAATATTTTTTTTAATTACCTTTCTCAGACGTTTGATGTGACTGTGTTAGTTTTTGTTACAAAGAACAGAAATTTTGAAATTTTAGAATAGTACACAAATGATCAAATAAATTTATTTCTAATAAAACCGTACCATAAAACATATCAACAATAATTATTTATTCTAATCTGTATTCAAACTTTTGAAGTTATTATAGTATGTTTTACTATATAGTAGTTTGAATAGAGTGCTACACAGGTGTTCAAAAAACGGAACCGAGAAACAAGTTTTAAAAATTCTTTTGTCTAAATCTAGAAGACATGGCCCTTTAATTTTTTTTTTTAAATTTCCCTATATTTTAATTTACTATTTTTTGTTGGGTACCTGAAATCGATTGGACTTTCATTATTCAAGATAATTTTGGATGCATCTTGTTTAGAATGAATCTATTCACAGTGGCTAAATTGTCACGTTTGTTGATTTATCTATCTACTTCGATATCTTGTTTTTGTAAGTGAACGACAAATTAACGTAAAGAATTTTTTAATGATTTTCCAAGTAGTTCAAATTTAAACTCAAAGATGATAGTATCGCAAATTTTAAAATTTTTGAGATTTTTAAGGAAACCTTGACTCTATTAAATAACAAATATACTTGCTAATTTGGGGAAAAAGTATATTTTAATTGGTTATTTAATTAAAACTGCTAAATGTTTATAACAACAAAAAAAAACACCAAAAACACACGTTTTAAAACAAAAAAAGAACCCATTTAATAAAAAACGTTTTTTAAGATAAATTGCGTTAATTACGAACTCAAAATGCCATCGGTAATTCAAGAAATAGTACTTCTCAAAGCTGAAAATAATTTAAACTTTGAGAAACGATTAGAATTTAAAAACAGTGGCCGGCCTTTACCGAAAGTGAACATACTATCGCTATTTTTGGGAATCCATGTAGGTATTTATAAATTATGTAATTGAATATGTAGGAATAGTGAGAAAAAAGTGTTTTCTGTTTTACCTAAATTTTGTTTTCGGACAACATTATAAAACATATACGTTTTTAGCCACGTTTTCTTCTATCAAAAAACAACTTGATGACTTTTTCAGTTGACTCCTTGTTTTTAAGATGTCGCATATTTATTGTAACTGCAATTTAACGATCTCTCAAAATTCGTTAATAAAAATATACCTTGTAATTAGAAAATAGGGGTTGACGGCATATGTGCACTGCGTTCCCCTTCGAGCCAAAAACAATGACGTTTACACAATTTCAAAATCTCTATCCGTTCTCAAGAAATAAGACCGCGGAGTTTTAACTGGGATAGCCTGTATGTATACTTATATACTTCCGCTAGATAACACTACGAGCCGCCACTGGTTCTAACCACAACTGGTGACTACTTTGTTACAATATTCAAGACGAAACGAAGAATCAAAATCCACTAAATAAGAGCTTTCCCTGTAGTCGATAATTTTAATTTTTAAGTTCTTTCATGACGACAAAAAAAATCTTGGACAAATGGTTTTTGAAATCCCAAGTATACCTAATTTGATTTCGCACTAAAAACTATGAAAAAAAAAATTTCAAAGTGTTTTTCTCTAACCAGGTCCACCATACAAAATTCACAGGAAGTACTACATTGTTATAATTTATTCATTTTAGTCTTCAAGGTTCTTTTTGAAATAATCGTCGAAACGAAAAATTGTCGTATGTTATCATCTGTAGATACCGCGGGTATTTATTTTTTTAGTATTTAATATTTAATTCATTAGGAGTAATGTCCATCAAGTCGGCACGGAAAATTTTTGGAGCCAACAGTACCATCTGTACAACTGGTCTCACAGCCAACTCTAATTCATTTTATTTTCGATCACACATCACAAGGTTGTTGCCCTTATAATCTGGTAAACTGTCAATTTTTTTTTGAAAATTTGTTGGTACGTGTACAACAACAAAAAACTAATCAACGGAATAAATACTCAGTAAAACAATACTTGAGAGGATTAGTTGAGCTAGTCAAAGTGAAGAAATTTTCAGTCATGACCACAAAACTTGGGGTTTTTAAATTACATTGGAATTTTTACTTACTTGCTATATTTATTAATTACAACCAATTTATTTACTCTGTTTACCGATTTGGTTTTATTAACAAACGTAAACATCAAGGAATTCTGATAAACAGAGTGTTACCATCTTTTAGGGAAATTTCATATTTCGCACACGACGGTTGGTAACACAAACTTCAAATAATGCAGTTTAGTTTATGTAAACATTAAAAAGTACTTAAAAAATACCGTTCGTTACTGTTGCGAATAAAATTTGGATATTTCTAAATAAGGTAACTAAAAATTTCGTCAACGTTTCTTTGTCAAAGGTTACAAACTCCACTGTAACAACATGGTAATAAACTAAATACATATTTCACAATAAAGTCACATGGTAACTACAAAATAACACCATAAATACTGACCGCACCGTCAATTTTAAACCCACCGTCTCAACTTGAAAATTAACAAAACAAAAATTCAATCACGAACTTAAATTTCAACAACTTAAACTCGGCACTTTCTTCGAACTCCGCAAAACCTCTTAAAATTCACTTCATTCTTTCTCTAATCCATCAAAAATATGGAACAAATAGAAAATAAGAAAAAATTGCAAATATACCAAAAATTGAGTAACACACATACCTGCCGCTTGAAACTGCTGGCCCATATTCATTAACTTGGTGGCTAAAGCGTTAATTTCTAGTTCTTGATTAGAAATTTGTGATGTCGATTTTACTTGCGTACTTCCCTGCAGATGGCTCTGCTAAAAACCAAAACTCATTTTAAGCGCCTCGCACGAAGCTCAAATTTACCAAGATCGGTACGCTTGAGGTATTTTGAATACTTTGATTTTGTTGCACTAAACTAATCCGGGAACCCACAGTCCCATTAACCAACGGCGACGTCACACACGATTGGTTCTGCAACGTCTGGCTCAACTGCGTCAAGTGCTGCTGGGCCAAGTTGGTTTGAGCGGCATTCTGAGCTTGTATCTGCAACACCGGTAAGTCAGTTACACAGAATAAGTAACACAACTAATTTAATCAGTCTTGTAAGGTAATTCTGGTTGCCTATTTTGGAATGAAAAGTCATACCTGCGCTTGCGCTTGCGCCATGGCGACCCTCTCCTTGTACCCCGGACTCAATCCGTACCATATCCTGACCGATTTCCGCCCGCTTTCGGTGAAAATCTCCGTGAACTGGTGGATGTACCTATTTGCGTTCGCCCGAGATCCTAGTGAAAACCTACACGCTACCCCGTTCCTTTCGTTCTTCTTGTGGTCCCTATCTAAGTAAAGCTCCCCTAAATATTCCGAGTTCGACGGCCTTTGCAGAATGGACAACTTGATATGGTAGACCCTCTGCTTGCCCTTCTCCTTCGAGGGCATGTTCGTTTCGAGGACGTACTCTTCGATCAGCTGCGGCAGGCAGTCGCTGGTCTCTTTGGGCCGCTGGTAGGTCTTGAACTCGTTGATGAACACGCCTTGCGAAGGAGGACCGATCGGTGGAGGGTCCAAGTTCGGTACGGGAATAGGTTTGATCTCGTCTTGAGTCTTTTTCGTTTTATTGTTGACACCGAGTGAATGTCCAGTCTTTGGTTTCGTCTTTGCTCTACTCAAAAAGTCGTATAACTCTAAGCCGGGCCTGTGCGTGAACTGGTCGAGTTTTCGTTTTCGGTTCACGGTTACTTGGGAGAATTTCCGCGCCGCCCTACGAAATCTGTGGCTGTTCCACATCTGCCGATTGTGGTTTATCCGCGACTGCATCGTACTGATCGAATTATCCGGATCTAGGCATAGAGTGGGTTTGTTTGCTAATAATATTTGGCTTTCTAATTGCTGCCGCTCCTCGGTTCCCATATCTACCTTTTCGTCAACCAGATTGTTGATGTCAGCAAGAAGACTCTGTTGACAACAAAAAAATATACACATTATTTACTGCAACGAAAATTTATAACTCATGGAATCAAGGAATAAAGTATTGTTCGTTTACCGAATAGATGGAGTGATCACGTGAGCTACATGTGCCTACAAAGTGAGCGTCCAAGCTTACACAATAACATTAAAATTGAACGTATGAAGAAATTTCAGTGGGATGTTTGAAAAATTATTTATAAATTTATAAATTTCTCAATCAATAATATTCGGGTTTTCAAAGATCACGTACAGATCACGCCCTTTTCGATTCCATCTGTTCGGTAAACGTATAATAATTAATTGTTCTAGATTTTATTTTTTATTAAGCTTCCAGCAAGCCTCAAAACTTCAAAACCAGAACAGTTAAAAAAAGTTAAGAAATTTTGATAAATACACTGGGAAAAAATGGGCATTTTATTTAAATTTTGTTCTGTTCATATCTGCATTTTTTATGATAAAAATTAATACTCAATCTTGAAACAATAGCAGTAATAATTAAATATGTCACTATTTTTTAATTGCTATTAAGAATCACGTGAATTACACTGTTATTCTCACACAAGGTTTGAACACGCTGTCAAAGTCAATAAAAGTCAAAATCAGGCGTTCTTTACGTGTTATAGGGCAAAATTAAAAGTTAATCCCCTTTGACATTTTAGTTTTTGATTTAGTGATCACAAACCATTGACTAAAAAAAACTGATTTCGAAAACTTTGTCTGCAATCAAATTTATTTAAAAGTTTCACCTATTGCATAGACATTAAGCAGTTATCTTAAAAAGCAATAAATGTAAATAATTGTATGGGTTTAAAATAAAAATAACTTATTTAGACGAGCAAAATTAAATTAAAAACAAATTACAAACATTTCTGAAACAAGTAAATATTAATTGGATTTTAAGCGACTTTTTTAATTTAAAAATTTGATTATATTATACTTATGTGATAAAAATTATACTCGTTGATGTGTTTTTAAATTTCTACTGTCATGCAGAGAGTAAGGATTTAAGAGTCAAATAAAAAAATTGTACATGGAAAATGGGTTTTAAATTGTATAAAATAACAAGGTACACAGTCTATGACTCCGTGTTGAGTTTTTACCCAAACCGTCCAGATTTTTGGAAAAAAAATCAAAATTATAAAACAACATTTTGCAATTTAATTTTGAATCTGCCAAACTGAATGCTTTAAAATCTTGCAGATGTATTAAATTTAAATTTTTAATCAAAAAATTGATGACGTCATGTCAAAATTTTGCCGGATAAATCCTATCTAAAATATGCAAAATATGATCAGTGTGTGATTTGTCCCTGCATTCATATTCTTTAAATTTGTTTAAACAGGGTGACTCAAAAAAATAATGAATGCGTGAATTTATTTTATTGATTTGATCAGGAACTGCAAAACTGAATCCTTTGAAATCTTGGATGTTTTAAAGCTATCATAAGCATGGTAAATGTTTGATCAAAATGTATCTGCTCATCCCCCCTAAAAAAATGATGACGCCACGTCAAAATATTGCTGAATATATCCTATCTTAAGTGTGCAAAATACGATGAGTCTATACTTGTGATTTATTTTTAATATATAATTAATATTTTTTAAATTTGCTTATACAGGGTGTCTCAGAAAAATTAATGACTGACTGGTTAAAAAATAAATATCCAATCAGATTTAGCAATTTAACCCGTTACTGTGGAAATATGCAATTTAACACCTTTTAAATTTAACAAGTTTTTACATAATAGCGGCAAAATCAGTCTTATCTCAGTAAGCGCCCCTTATTTTCTCAGAGGGTATGGCGTTTGCCAAAATCAGTCTTATCTGAACAAGTGCTAGCCCCGCCCACCCGCCCCTACTTTCTCAGAGGATATGTCATTTGCCAAAATAAGACTTATCATAGCAAGTACAAACAAGTACTACCCTCTGAGAAAATAAAGGGCGGGTAGGCGGGGCTAGTATTGCTAACATAAGTCTTATTTTGGCAAATGACATATCCTATGAGAAAATAGGGGGCGGGTGGGCGGGGCTAGTACTTGGTAAGATAAGACTGATTTTGGCAAATGACATACCCTCTAGGAGAAGAGAGGGCGGGTGGGCGGGCCTAGTATTTGTTAAGATAAAACTGATTTTACTCCTATTAATGTTGAAAAAAACTTGTGAAATTTAAAGGTGTTAAATTATAAACTTCTATAGTAACGAGTAAATTCCTAAATCTACCCGAAATGTGCAAAATATTATGGGTTTTTACTTGTGATTTATCATTGCATTAATATTTTTTAGACTTGGCTTACACAGGTGGCTTAAAAAATTAATGAATGTGTCAATTTATTTTATTGATTAAATCAGGACGAGTTCACTCCATTTTCCCAGAAAATTGTGGTAATGCAATAGTTATTTTTAGTCTTACACTGCACCAATCCAAGTTGATCTACGTGTCCTTGCAAAAATGTTGATGACGTCATCACAAAATTCTGTAAGGTAAAAACTCAACTCAAAAATGCTGGATATATTTCACTGTATTTTAGGTGCGAGGGAAGTTCTGTCGAAACAACTTTCAACCAGTTTTTTATTACAACTATTTATGATTTATTGTGTTTAATGTGAACCAAAAGATTTTTTTTGGAACATCTCAATATTTTAAAAACAAGTACTATTTTACGAAATATTCCAACAAGTCAAAAAAATTTCTTAAAAGTCATTGTTTTATCGTTATTTTTTTAATTTTGAAGCGATTCAAGTAAATTTTCGATAGATGTAATTATATTTTTCTAGAATGACGTCATTGGCAAACAAATTGGTATGAATCAATAAAATTTAATTAACGTTATATAACCTTTAAATCAATATTACTGTTTATCAAAATTACGTTGGAATTAGCGTATATAAGGTTAAAAATAAGTATGGATTATTTATTAACCACACTTCAAAAATCCCATCACTGCAGATGATGTTTACGTAGCAAAATTTGGCATGACGTCATCAGTTGTTTGAAGGATATTAGAAGACAAATTTTGATCAACGATTTACTGAGATGTATTGAAAATTAAAGTAATTAGTTCAATTAAAGTCTGTAATAAATTTGAATTGAAATATGTTTTTACAAATAATTGAAGTAAATGTCAGTAAATAAATGCGGCACATGCATTTGACTATAAATTTTGTATTAATTAATAAAAGAAACAATAAAAAGGAAAGTTGTATTCATTTCCGGCAAAAATGGGGTCGTTAAAATACATTTTTTGATGCTCTTGGACAAGCTTGTTTGAATTTTTTATCATCTCATTCATTGACTTAATTGATATGAAAACTTCATGTTTGTCATTCCAATGGTCCCTGCGAGCCCAATAAGAAGTAATCAACCAGATCAATAAAGTTGTGATATTTTATTTAATCTACGCATTAACTGAATAGAGACACAGAAGCACCTTTTCATAAAAAAATTAACAATGTTTTATTGGTAATCAAGGATTTTGTTGGCACCTGGAACACCTAATTTAACGCCAAATACTGTATAATTTCAGCAACTTTTTTAGGACACTTGATAATTAACAGTTCATAAAACCCACTTAGCACACAGTATGGAGATACAAGGCTATCATACAAAAAAACTGAGCTGAAAATTAATTTTGCTAAAAATATGTCAAAATTCACTAAACAGATTAACAAACTAAGAATATATTTTACAAAACTGGTATATTTCTTGATATTACCTTGAGTGTAGGCCTGAGTAAAACATGGTGAATATCACACTTGGAATCTGGATAGGATTGACGGTAGTCCCTGACTTCAGCTATAATGCAACCATTATAAAAGAGAAAACTGTAGTGCGTCTCCAACACTTCAATGAGGTAAGGGGGAAGTTCTTCATTATCTATGTATCTAAGAAGTTCGTCCTCTTCATAAGGCCACTGTTTAGTTTCAATCATGTTGGCAGTATCATCCAAAAGTTGATTACTTCGAGAAGTGGTTCTGAAAGCCAGGGAATAGCCTTTATTTCCAGGATACAGGTTTAGAATCAATGTATTCAGTCTTTCTCTCGCTACAAGTTTTTCTAAAATGTGTGAATTTTTCTTCAAGCCCTGAAAACAACACAATGTTACGTAACAAGATTTCTAGAGGGTGAAGAACTTACTGTCCTAGTCTCACAGTTGTCTTTAGCACATTCTTCCCTATGTAATTCAAGGAATTTTGTGAATATACAGAAATTCTGTGGTGTGGTGCAATTTTCTACAGTTTCTGATGTTTCCTGGTGGTGAAGCAGAGGCAAGGAGGACCGACTAGTCTTAATTTTCTTTATAGTATGCTGAAGAGCACAGGTTAATAAAACAGGATTATTTACAGTTATGTGGTGGAATACTCACTTCACCCTCCTCACATGCTCCCTCCAGGCTTTGCATCTTTGTGAAAACTCAATATAAACATTCAGCTTGCCACATTTTTGTTTCGTATAGTTGATAGAGCATTGGAAATAAAATAATCTGCAAAACAGCCATTCAATAATGTTACAATGCATCAACGCCATGTACATTATTGCTATCATTAACCACAACGTTACGACTCTTCTAATTTGAGTTATTAAACTCGAATTATAATAAAATTCGCGTTTGAATTAAATCTGACAAGTAGTTGAAACATGACATTCTGCACAAGTTTCAACCCTAAATTCATCTTTTTATAGGTCATCAGCGAAAAATACGCGAAGATTGAATCAATTACCTGTTTTTTGTTACGGGAGACATGTAAAACCATACTTCTTACATGTTGGAAACTTAGTTCTGATGAGCACACTCATATCTTACGGTTTCAATAAGGCCGCAAGGGTAACCTAACCCCTATTGTCAATCAAAAAAACTGAAATGTACACAGGTCACATTAAAAAAATATACTGTTATTGACCAAAATAAAGCACGCGAAAAAGAAAAACGATTCTTTACAAGTATTTTTACGGTCGATTTCAGTATTTTCACAAAATTATAGAAAAACCCAGTTTACAAACATACTGGGTGCCCATTACGGACCTCTATCGGTTGTCTTTTGGTAACCAATTGCGATTCGCGAATGTTGCGCGGCAATTTTTGAAATTAAAAGAAAACCATGTGTGTTGGGCTCCTCATGGACCCTGAAGTCGCAGCTAATTGCAGAAAACGCCCCAGTTTCAATTTTAGAGTGCACATCGCGTCAACCAGAATTCAGCTTTTACGATTAATTTATCCGAATGACAAAACATTGAAGAACCCAATTTATTTACGCGGGGGCGCACTATCAGCAAGTTTTGTTGTTAAACAAAGAAAATATTTTATGTTCTACAGTGTTGAATATTGCTTTGTAATCAAAATATTTTTGTATAAATAGAAATAAAATTGTCAAATACAAATCTCCAATTCTTGTTGCAAATAATTTGCAAAAAAAGACTAATGGTAACATTAGGACTATAAATATTTAGATAAAAAAGGATTTAAAAAAACATCAGTTACAAAAATTCTAATAAATAATTACGAAAGGGCTGCCTTATAAATTCATTCATAAGGTATTGTCACTTTGACCTCCGCCTCGTACAGTTGGTTGCCTACTTCACATATATTTCCTTTACATTGTTTTGCTCTTTTTTCCCCCTGTAAATGTTTTAAACGTTGTGTGAACATTTGTTAAATACTTGTTTGTACCTCATACCAGTTCATTAATGTTTAAATGAGCACTCTGTCATATTATTTACTTAGACAAAACAAAAAAAAAAAAAAGAAATACAGAACCTTTGGACTTCATTCCTAATATGTATAAACCCAAAAATTCCATGTGGACGTTTTAAAGTTAAGCCAGTTAAAATTCGAACGAATTTTCATATGAAATTCCTTTTCAATTCACTATATTCATTGTGCAAAATACAAAAAATCATATTGAAAATCAAATATAACAATAACAGGCCTTTGTGGAAGTTAAAATAGCCATGTAGTCATATGTGGATTAGTTCATGCAAATAAGTAGGTGGACCAGTCACCATATATATTATTCAGTGCAATCATTTTAATAATAATATTTTCAGTGTTCAGAATGATAAATAGGGTTTTGGGAGACAAATTTTACAAAGTTACATTGCCTTTTCTTAACATATAGATGCCTAGACGTTGTTGATGTTTAAAATCTTTCTTGGTAAAATATTTCAAGAAAATTTAAGTTTTATTTACATTTCCAAATGGTATCAAAGAGCTTTGCTGCCAGAGTCAGTAACAGAAAGACATTTTCCGGGTATGGGTTTTGACTGTGTCAAATTTGGAAAAGGTTTCCATATTTCGTAAGGGACCTCTTCAGGAAATGAAGGACAAAAAGAACAAGAAGTTCAGGAGAGAAGAGAGCGACACAGGAGGTAAATCTTTTCTGTCCAAACTCTGAAAACATCTTTCTGTTATTGTATTTTTGAGCCGTTTATGTACAAAACTATTTCATTCATTATCATTAGTATTAAGATAAGAATAAAAACACAATTGAAGAAGAACCGAAGTTAGTCCAAAAGCTACCTCATTATTAATTTTTTGCACATTATTTTGTTTCTCTAGGCGGTAAGATTAAATATATTACATTATTGACGTTTTCTCCATCATTTTGGCCGACCTTTTCACCCCTTTCTCAATAAGCTTGCCTTTCATAAAACCGCCTTGGAACAGCTGACAGCAGCTAGTTACTTTCAGTTCCTGATATTGGCACCTCCCAAATGTCCACTTTTGACATTTAGTTTTGTAATTTATTTATTATTTGTGTGTCCGTAAAGTCAATTTACAATATTTTCAGTAAATCAGCGCACTAAATGAAAGAAAAACAACACAAACTGCCTAAAAATGTTACCAGCGTTGTGTTAGTATATTTTAGCGTGTAATTTTTGTCGTTCGTGATACTAAATTCTAAGTAAGTTTTAAAAATAATCACTTTAGTGATAAGAATTTAATTATTATTCAAGCGTGGCGAACATTTACAGTTACCTAATAAACATGTCCCTCACAATTCAGCAAATTATAACCGACGCTAAACGATTAGCAGGGCGCCTAAAAGAAAGAGACACCATAGCAGATACTCTGCTGAACGAAACGAACGCAATTACCAAAAAAATTGATGCCATGAAGCAGTTTCAGGAGGAGGTTGATCAGTTGAATGAAGTGGCGAATCAGAAGCCGCATTCACAGCTAATAGCTAACATTCAGAAGGAAAACAGGCACTTGAGGGAGATTCAGCAGGAGAATCGAGAGTTGAGAGCAGCTTTAGAGGATTACCAAACAACGTTAGAACATATTATGACTAAGTATAGGGAACACACCACTGAAGAGATTTATAGGACAAAGTTAGATTTTAAGTCACTGCAGAATAAACAGTACGATGAAATTATTAAACAGCAGGCTGAGAGAATACAGGAAATGGCTGCAGTTATGGAGAAAGCCGCTTTAATTGATGAAAATAGAATGGTGTGTAATGAAGAAGTCATCGCAATGCTTAAAGCAGAGAATCAGGTAGTTTATACACGGTTTGGTTTTTTTTTTTTTAAATAATGGGGACGTTATTTTAGGGCCTCAGGGAAATGTTAGGTATAGCATTTAAACATGGTTCACTTATTAATAACAAGATGGAAGATAAAACCATTCAAACTGATACTTCTTGAATCTTTCATGTTTTTATTCAAGTGTAATATTTTGTTTTATTTATTTATGTGTTTATATACTTTTGCACTGTTAATAAAGCGATATTCTGTAGAAGACTTTATTTAAAAAATGTAACCCCACAAAACACAACAAAATAATTGTAATATTACAAATAAATTACATTCTAGAGGTGGTGTATTCATCTGGAAATTTAAATGAATGCTGTCCATGAGCAAACACGTTTGGCAGTAATCCAGCGTTTGGAATTATATTCCAAGACAATGTCAAAGTAATATTTTTATTACCCCTACAAAAAACCATTAATAATGGAATGAAAATTTCCGCAACCGCGTTTACCTCAGACCATCACCATCATCCCAGAAATAATATTTCGTGTTCATGTTCTTAAAGTCAAGCACAGCAGTTTCACCACGGAGGATAATTTTGTCCCAAAGGACTATCTACAAAACAAAAACAATTAATTAAAAAAAAATAAGACAAACTAACAAACCTGGTTAAGTTTATTATTGGCAGTTTCATATTCAGCTGTCAGGTACAAGAAAAGTTGCTTCACATTCCAGTTGAAAAGCCCCGTTAAGTTAGTTTGTAGGTCGAAAGTAAGGAAACCCAAATCGTTTTTCTCTCTAGCGGCACTATAATCGGGTACGTTTTTCCTAAAGAAACATAAAAAAGTGCGTTAATAGCACACAACGTGGCCGGTTTTTTCACTTACACCACTACTTTCACAGTATTCATTCCAGCATTTGTGCGGTAATCTAGAAATACCGTTGAAATAAAACAGGCGAAAGTCAAACATGCTAGAACGCTTAGGGCATAAGCTAAAATTGCATTTCCTCTTTGCAGTACGGAATGCATCTTTTTATTTTACACATACACGTAATCTAACCTAACATATGTAGGGAAAAGGACACGTCAATTTTAAAGAAAAATCGAAACTTGGTTGTGGCCGGGACCAACATAAAATTCACACTAGACAAATATCCCTAGAACGAAGAGAGTCGAGAGTTCGCTGGCTGCAACACAGGTGGTGATACATGTACTGTTTGGCTGAAAATATTGCAATCTATAACTTCTTTCTAGAAATTGTAAAAATACGTCATGTACTACACAATTTATTTCTTGTTGCTGTTACAATTGTAACGATTTTCTCAAAAAAATTGTGAGTTAGCCATTTACGACATTAACCGGTCATTTACGTTATTTTTAGACGAGCTTTGCTGCATAAAAAGCTGTTTAATATTTACTTTAACACCTAACGTTAAACATTTTTTAAATCAATTTCCACTACTTTCAGAAAAGCAGCTTTAAACAACAAGAAAACAAAAACGTTCAAGATGTTACGAGAACTGAAACTTAGGTATTTACTTGAAATTCAGATTTCCAACTCATTTTGCTAAAATTAAATTAAGAATAAACTAGTTTTCATTAAGGCAGGGTTTGAATAATCAATGTAGAAAACTTTTAACGCGTTTAAAGCATAATTTAATTAGTTCGTGGTAATAAAATGTTGTGATGCTAGAACTTTTACAACGTGAAGTTTCAAATTAACGAGCAACAGAAATTTAACATTTAAAGAAAACTGAAACAACGAATTCAGAAAACGTTAATAATAGTCTTCCAAGAATAAAGAAGGACTCCATATACATATATGGTTTAAACATTATTGCACTTGATTACAACCCACGTCACATTCTTCCGAAAAATGATTGACTAAGCACCTAATCTTATCTATTTCCTTCGATTATTATCAAAGTCTTTGATAACTCTCTACTGCTTATCTAATCACACAAAATTTTTGTCCGTACTAGTGTAAACGTAAAACAACAATGAAGGTTCTTGCAAGTGTTATCGCAGTTTCTTGTCTTTTTATTGTCGTGATCTGTAAGCAAACTTCCGTATTCTTAACTCCTCAACTTAAGTTTTCATCTAGGTCAAACTACGACAACCATAAGTCCACCGACTACGCCAGCCAGTGACGGCAGCAATTTAAACCCAGACTGGTCATACTGCATGGAATTTACATGGGTCGGACCAGCCTATGACAATTTCACTCGGTTTAACCGCACCTGTGCAGACTATTTGGACGAAACAAGAGCCACAGGAATTCCCTGCAGTCCTCCTATAGTTATAACTGGTAAGTATGCGCCATCTCGTGTTAAGCTTAGTAGTAGAAATCGGAGGACATACTATGTGCTTGAATTAATTTTAGAGGATGGCACGCCACCCGACATAGATTATTTATTCCGACATCATAAGACCAGCGTCCTATGTAAAAGAACCCCTAATCAAGTGTGTGCGACCTATACTTATCGATTCGATGGCATTGGTAAGAACAAAAATATGAAACCAAACTCGAATTGATATTTTTTATATAGTTAGCAACTCGACGTATATGTGCACAAAAGTACAAGAATTCGGAGGAGGTGCCATAACTTCTGGTTGCTATACTCAGAATATAAGAGGTTATGACGTGGAGGTTTGCGTGTGCAAGTCAACTAAAGGACATACGTACAAACCCTGCAACCACAAACTTGTCGACTACAGTTAAATATAAACGACGTAAAATTAAGAAATTTAGATAAAGTAGATATGGTATACGCGATTCGTTACGATTGTTGTTGAAAGCATCCTGCGCTTTCATTTTTTATTACCCGTTGTATAGATACATATGAACATGTACGTAAGTATTTATTAATTTTTGTGAATATAAACGATTTGAATAAATAAAGTGTTTTATTTTCGCATATCCTGCTAAAAAAACTCTGAGATTAAATCCGGAAAACTAATATAATTAACATGAAGGTTAAATTATCTCCGGTAGATATGTCTAACAACAACAGATAATTCATCTCGATGATACACCGGAAAATAAAACGAAGGTTCTTTATTAATCACACAATTTTCTTCGAGTTTAAATCCTAGCGATCTGTCTGTTCATTCGATCTGTTTATTAATTTCATGTCTGCGAGTGAGCGATTTGGTAAAGCGCTCTGCTTTGCGTTTCGTTTTAAAAGAACTTTAAAAGTCTTCGTAGCCATGCGAACGGAAAAATGCGAAAAAGCCAGCTTATAAACCCAATCAGTCGTGTGAGTAGTTCCCTTTAGAAATCATGCTTTTTGATATTCCATGATAAGCGTGGAAGCTCTTTACCCCAGGGAGAAAGGGCCACCCCCTTAAAACCGCGGTTGCGAATACAAACCGTAGTAGAGGCCACAGAAATACTGCTCTTTTATTTTGCAAAATGCGCCCGCGAGACTCAAGTTTTAATGGACGAAGAACGACTATGAATAACAAAATAAGATAATATAATTTTCTCTTTTTATTGCTTTGATACATTTTCTGAGCAAGTTTCCGATGTGAGTATATTATTTATACATGATATTTCTGTCAGTCTTACCGCGGATTTAATTTTATTTTTGTTTTCAGGATAGCTTTAGCCGGAAAATATGAGATTTTGTCTACATGTTGTGGCGGAATAGCGTATCTGCTAAAACCGTTGAATGTCTGTTGTGGAAAGTTGGAAAAGGCAAGATAAATACACTCGAGATGCATTCAGCTAAATTTAGAATGTTGTATGAAAAGGCCCGGGAGTGTGTTTCTTATTACTGATTCAAATGGACTGAACGTGGTCAGCGTTGCACTCTAAAATAGTCAAACATTAATCGCCGTTATAAACTCAAATTTTCTTTATACGTGCTAATTTTGGTGTAATCAGTTCGGTCGTTTTAATAACGGCATTAATTATATTCAGACCCATCTAATCTAAGAGACGAGTAAATCGATTGGTTGAAAAGTTTTACAGAGCAAATCTTTTTATTCTTTCAGTTTTACTGACGCTGCAAAACTTTTATAACGATTATATGCTGTCTTATAATCCGCTATATCAGCTTGCATAACTGTTATTTCTTTCATAAAATCACTTTTGAAAGTTTGCAGTCGTACTTAGAATGCCGCTCTACAAATAATTTTTCTTATACAAGAAGTTAGAAATACGCAAACTTTCGCGATTTAAGAGTGGCTTGAAGAGATTTAATTTTTAATTTTTAATTCTTCGTTGGCATCCTTGTTGCCTATTAAGCAATTTTTTGATTAAGCACTGCACTTTAAGGATATATTTAAATATTTCCAGCGAAAAAAACTAAGGAGTTTTCAAACTTGAGTTCGTAATTATTCTGCTCCCTAAAATTGTGGCAATGATCAATTTTAAATTGGTTTTTTGGTAATTTTCAAGTTTCGAGTGACGAGTTTGAGAGAATTTGTTTTTATTAATAACTAGTTAGGTCAGGTCACTTCAGTTCAGGTTAAATCAGGTCAAGTTAAGTCAGGTCAGGTCAGATTGGGTCAAAAAGATTCCGAGCAAAGTTGAAATTTAGTAAAATAATTAGCATTTAGCTATCGTTAAATTTTTCCTAGAAATATTTTACAATTTTTGAAAAATACATAAAATACCTTAATTCATTTAATAGGAAAAAAATGTATTCCTACTGTTTTTTAAATTTTACTCTTTATGGTTATCGTGGTTTATCAAAAAATTCCAGATTTTGATGTTAAAATTTTTTATTTCATTTATCCACTTTTTGTGTAGCTGCCATCTTCCCAACACGTTTTTTAGGCGCATTCATGTCAAAATGATAACTGGAAACTGACATACTAGCAGTGCTGCCAATAATTCAAAGATACCAACACAAAAATTTGCTTCAATTATTAATAGTCACCCGGTATTACTGTCCAATTTTAACGCTTTTAGTGTTATCTAATTCCATAATGTAGGTTTAATTTTTGGACTTAATAGTGTGCAACAACTTAAACAGTTTTATATAAATTATTTTTCTAGATTTAAAAATATTATATTTCTGAAAAAATATATACAGGGTGAGTCACTAAGCGCGTGCTTCTTGATATTTCTTAATTATTTAAAATTAAAAAAAAATCAAATCCAAAACCAAAGTTTTACAGTTATTTGAGGACTACATTCCAAAAGTATCGTCAACTATACAGAATGTTCTGTTTTTAGGGTGTAACACACATCTTAATTTTTTAATGAAATATCCTATGTATTTTTATATATTTTGATTGATCTCTCCCTGGGTTTTATAACCACAGTTTATTTTCGACATTTCGATACCAAGTTATTCGAGTTTCCTTGAGATTTTTTAGTAATGGAACAGTTCACGAAAAAATTGCAGTAGATTTCTTTTTAATATCTGGGTTACAGTATTTATTATGATCTAAAAAATGGTTTGATTTTAATATACAGGATGTTCTAATTGAAAAAACTGAAACATTGATGTCTGAAAATTGTAAATTTAAATTTTTTTATAAAAACTCTGTATATCAAAATTTTATGTACTTGATACATAACAAAGTGCGCACCTCCGTTTATCTCTCCACAAAATATTGCAACACAGATCTTAAAAATAATGTTATTGATTTTTTTTTTGTGAACTCTTGCATTACTTAAAAATAAAAAAAAATGGAATAACTTGGAAACATTGCAACGAAATTTCAAAAACAAGCTTTGGTCATAAATTCTGGGAAGAGGCTAATAAGATGAATAAGAATATGTACAAATATATAGGGCATTCTATTTAAAAATTAAGTTGTGCTATATACGTCGAAAATAAAATACTGTATTAATGTATGTTACTCAAAGAACCAAACAACTTTAGTCTCTGTTAGTTTAGTGGCTCATCCTATATACGTAGACTTAGAATATACATAGAGCTAACTTCAACAAATAAAATTGAAAAATTTGACATCGTTTGATGTAAAAAAATTGTTAGATAAGTAAATATTGCCTAAGTGGATCTTGCTACCGCTTTGAAACAGTCTTTATTCGTTGAATTTGAATAATTTTATGTATTTTAAGATATTTTATGAAATTATTTATCATAAATATCAATTTTTACTTCCTGCACGTAAAAGGTCCATCGATCGATCGACTGGCTACTTTCATGTTTTCTCGACCTCTATAGTAGGAAAAAATAGACCAACAACTACTACAAAAATTTACCATTTTGGTCATGTTTTAAGTTTCTTGTTGTCGAAATAACTCTACACAAACTAAGAACTAAAATTTAAATGCAAAATTCTTATTATTTCTCTACAAGAAATGACAATTTAAGACATTTTTTAAGTATCGTTTAAAATTTGCCATTTTAAACGTGTTTTACGTTTCTAAAAATAAAAAAATCATCACAATTGAGATGGGATGGGTGGGCGGGGTTTATATTTTTCTTTTTTTTCTTAATATACATACTATTCTTTGGACAACACGATACTCCAAAACACGTTTTTAATTTCTTGCAAACAAATAAGTATTTTGCAGTTAATCTCCGCCCCTTTGGTTCACGGCGAATAAAAAAAAATCATCACAATTGAGATAGGGCGGGTGGGCGTTCTTACAATTGGCCTTTTTCTTTTAATATGTGTGGATTTCTTTTCACAATATGAAACTTAAAACATGTTTAAAATGGAAAATTTGTATAAGGAAATATGAATTTGGCAATAGGCTCCGCCCCATAATGGCAAAATCCATATTTCCTTGCAAAAAACCATTTTAACTATGTTTTAAGTTTCATGTTATGAAAAGATGGTTATGTATATTAAGAAAAAAAGGCAAAATATAAGCCCCACCCACCCGCCCAATCTCAATTCTGATGATTTTTTTTATTCGTCGTAAGCCGGGGGGCGGAGGCTAATTATAAAATCTTTATTTTTCTACGATAAATTACCATGTGAAATATGTTCTTAAGTAATCGTATTATACAAAGAAAACTAAATGTATTAATTAAAAAAGAAAACCAAAAGAGAAGCTCCACCCATCCGTCTCAATCTCAACCGTGATGAATTTTTCATTCGTTGTCAGACCGAGGGGCGGAGCTAATTACAAAATCGATATTTCCCTATACAAATTTATCATTTTAAACATGTTCTAAGTTTCTTGTTGTGAAAAGATGACTACACATATTAAGAAAAAAGGGCAAAATGTATACCCCACCCACTCGCCCTATCTCAATTGTGATGATTGTTTTATTCGTCGTGAGCAAAGGGGAGGAGCTTAATTGCAAAATCTTTCTTTCTATACAAGAAATAAAAAACATATTTTTGAGTATCGTGTTGTTCAAAGAACTCTACGTATGTTAAAAAAAAACAAGCCAGGAATTAAGCCCCACCCATATCCATCCCAAGCTCTATTGTGACGAATTTTTCATTCGTTGTCAGAGCGAGGGGCGGAGACTAATTGCAAAATCAATACTTACCTACAAAAAATTACCAGTTTAAACAAGTTTTACCTTTCTTTAACAATGTGTAAGTACTGAGAGAAAGGTACAGTATGGAAAATGATGGCAGCTATTTAAAATATGAGGGTTTCGGTGAAGTATCCAGATTTTTGCAAAAAAATTCCAAACTTTATAACAACCTTTTGTACCAACATGAGAGAAACTTGCAGCATAATTGGTTAGTATGTTGTGGTAACAACGAAAACGTCGCGGGTTCGATTCCTTCATGAGCCAGTTTTTTTTTTCTTACACTGTGACTGGTATTATCTACATTTTTTTATTTTCTAAAACCATAGATTTTTTTGACTGTACTTCACGGGTGACAGAAATTCGATCTAATGCCTTAAAACCATTTTTTTTCAAAATATGTATAGTGAGCAACATCAAAAGTGAGAGCATCCATTACAAATGAGAGTTACTAAATTACATTTTAAAATGATATCTT